GTAGGTAGGTAGGTAGGTAGGTAGGTAGGTAGGTAGGTAGGTAGGTATGTATGTATGTATGTATGTATGTATGTATGTATGTATGTATGTATGTATGTATGTATGTATGTATGTATGTAATGAATGTATGTAATGAATGTATGTAATGTATGTTATGAATGAATGAATGAATGTATGAATGTATGTATGAATGTATGGATGGGATGGGATGGGATGGGATGGGATGGGATGTAATGTAATGTATGTATATACACAGAACACGCCCACTGCACTAGTTCCATGGCCGGGTCTCTACGAATGGCCTCTTGCAGTCGCTTGCATGCGTTCAAAAGTCTTAGACAAGCCACTGAGGTCTAAGAAACGCAGCTTGGAGCCACAATCGCCTGTGGCGACAAACTACAGGTGAGACAAGCATTGAGACGCACCAAAAAATCACCCTGAATGCCTACAGACTTGGGATGACTTGGATTGCAATTGGGATGGCGAACGAAAGGTAGTTTGAGGGCATGCACCCGGGTGCGAAAGAAGTAACCCCAAGTGAGCATGTCCTGGTAATTATAGCTTTCTGTTCAGCAATGCTTCGAACTTCCATGGGAGATTTGATCCAGGCCCCCGCTTGTCTGGTGAATCTCAGCTTTCCGTTACAATACATGTTTTCTCTAAAGCAGGCACAACTCAGGTAACTGAAGTTATCTTTCGTGACCCTGCTCTAAATGAACCGCGTCATATATATATATATAATCATTGTATCTGCATATCCTAGCCCGGCCTTGCAGCAGCTGTACTACAGAAGCTTGGGCTCTTGAGGAGGCATTCCTGCAATCCTTCAAGCTCAAGCGCTGGATCCGGAGCGGCGTGTGTGGCACCAACAAGACATCTTCCAGGAAGGTGCCTAAGACAAAGTCTGACAAAAGCTTGCCCCCGGAAAAGTCCACCTCCTCTACTCCGGTTGACCGACCAACTGCGCATAAGGTCAACAAGTCCGAATCCACCAGGGTCTTGCCTCCAGCATCCACCTTTTTCGAGTGTCCGGTCACGAAGCTGGAGGGCACTGGCACCACCTGCTCCCTTTGGCAGGCATGAATGTACTGCTTGGTGGGGGAAATGGCGTCATCTAAGTCTTCGGAATCACCGTAGACTGGCACCACTGCATCTTCAATGGGAGGTAAATGATGGTGACCTCTGAATCCTCTGCTGTTGTTCTTCCTTTGTCGCACAGTTCTCTCCTCCACCTCAGCTGGTTCCACAGGACATTCTCCAAAGTGCGACATCGGACACCTGTGTTTCACCAAGGTAGGCAAACTAGGCAGGGCGGATGACCTCTTGGAGGACATCACCTCTTCTCTTTGCTCTACGGATAGTCGGCGTTCCTCATAACCTGATTGGAACCACCACATCTTCCTGTCAGGGTGGCACCTTCGCATGGAATCTGGTGGAGTGAATCGATTCTGATCCCGATCTTCTGAAGAGGCCTGCAGTGCATGCGTGAGAAATGGCAGTCGCTTTCGCAACTCCGGTGCCGATTTCACACTGGACAGTGGTTTCGTTTCTTTCTGGACAGCCTGGGATATGCTGGCCCGAGGTGGCACCCAACCGCGCCCATCAAGGGTGGGGAGGTACAACTCGGTCTTGGCCGGAGTCACAGGCCTCCAGTCTCCTTTCCGAGTGCCTCTGTGGAAGGTGTGCCAAAAGCCTTGCCGACGTGAAGGTTCGTCAGAAGTGTCGTTTTCTTCATGCTTTGCCACCATAGCCTGTTGCAGCACTTGGGTCTTCTGCTTCTCTAGCTCCACAATGTATTCACCCAGCTCTGATTGCACGCAAAGCTCCATTCTCTGATGCATGCGGATACGGCGCACAATCTGCTGCAGGGCATCAGGTCGAGTTAGCCACCCTGGGTGCTTCTGCTTCTTCCAGAAACTGGTCAATAAATCCATCAAGTTCCATTCTAGCCTCTCGAAGTTGATCAAATCTTTGGCGTCCTGAGCTGCAAGCGACGGAGTTTCTTCATGTTAGTGTATCTGTTCAAAAGGCATGCAAGGATCTGTCCGCACAGGCAGAATAGTTCTGGGGTGACTCAGGTTAAGGTTGGTAGTCGTCAAATAGATTCAAGTAGTATATAGATTTATATATAGGCTTAGGGTAAGGAAAGGCTTTGGAATGCTTTGGAGTCTAATTAGGAAGGTCGCCACTCCTCAAATTGACAAATTCACCTGGGACAGTGAGCTAGGTTCGATATGGTTCGATGATAGACTCTTGACCTTGAGGCAATCCTTGAAGCCGAGTCACCTTATAACTTCGAAGCATCTTCCCTCCTGCCACACTTCGAGATGCCCTTCTGGCCATTTGTTGCCTGGACTTGGCATCCCCAAGCAGCATAACCAAAAGGGGGTGTCGGCTCTTCGTCATGCGGCACACAAAATCGATGAAGATCCCATCAGCGCCCTGAAAACCTGCTTCAAAGCGTCGGGAAGGTGGAATGATTGGCTGAACACTTTCTGCATCACTACTGCTGTCAGAGCCAAAGGATTCCTCGTCCAACTCGTCCACCTCCTCAGGTTCCATCTTCAACCCACGGGCAAATCTCCATTGGGCTGGACCCCTTTGGGGTGAAGCCCTTCTTACTTGAGCCAGAAACCAAAAATACATGAAATGAAGAATCGTAAAAAGAAATCGAAACCTGAGTCTGGCCTATTCTGAACACGGACAACTCTAAACACGTTCGACTAGTGCATGACTGGCTAGTTTAGCCAGTATGATGAGGTCCCCTGCTGCTAGGGAAGCTCGCTTCCCCGCTTCTGAGGCTGTTAACCTCTGCTAACTCTGGCCGTGCTTCACAACATTTGTCGCGACCGAATTGGTGCATCTTCTCCAAGAAAAGCAGTGTTCAACGATGCAATGAGGGCAGAAACATACGATAAGAACAACCACTAAGTGGTGCAGTCACTCAGTGGAAGATTGAAATAACATTTGACATCTGAAAACTTTCTTCGCCCCGTTTCAAAACCTTCTACTCGCCGACCTGAGCTCTTCCTCGCGTGCTCGGCTGGCTTGAAGGTCCTGGAGTGGTCTCCGACCCCAAACAGAACAGCACCCCCCCTAACAGTGACAGTTGAGTGAGGTGTGGGGATATCCATGTTTGGAGGTTTAAGTATAGAACCGTGACCCGGTGCAAAGGCACTAGCCTCTCTCACTCCTGCTCAGTCTTGGCAGAAGACTCCTTTGATTCTTTCAAGCTGCTGGTCAGTTTCACCTGAAGCTGGCTGCAAGTGGCTGCAAAATAGAAAATCAAAATGCGCACCTCCTGCGAGCTCAATGAAACTGGCTCAGCCCAAATGCAATGGATTGTAGCAAGAAGTGCTTCATAAGAATGCGGTGCATGGCTCATTGCTCCAAAGTGACAAAAGATCTTCTCATCCTAGTTGTGCTATCCTGGATTGTGGTCCTCTGTGTCTGGATGTTCAGCAATCTATATAAACAAGTGTTCGGTACTTGGCTATCTGGCAGCCACCTAGCTCAGGGCTTCCGTACGTTCTCCGCTCTACTCGCCACCAGGTCTCGATTGGCCTCAGAGTGCCGAATGGCCTGAATGCAGCATCAACCAGTACTATATAGTACTATGTTTCTGCTCATAAACCAGTACTGGTACCCAACAAAGATGGAAGATTCAGAAGAACTTGCCCAAATCTGCACCTATTTGGTTCACCTCATGAGATCTCATGAGCATTACAGCATGCCCAATCTGACGGCTCCGCTGACCGGTCTCCTGGTGCCCGGCTGTCTTCAGCTCGGACGTGCGAAGGTCCAACTCGGACCTTTGAAAAGGCATGGCAGGCATAGCCCCGCACGAACACATGGAGACATGTGGCATGCTTGGGATATTGGCAACCCGGAGTACGTCCAGAGTCCGACAATATGGGGAGCTTCTGGAAAAAAAAACATGTCTTGAAGCACCCCAGGCCTGTAAAGTTTGCGTATATAATATATAGTATTATTATATAGTCTTGCTCGGCTAGGCTGACGTGTCTGTCCGGGGCACACCAGCAAAACGATTCCATGGGTCGCCTCATCCATTTGAGTTGTCCTTCGGCATTGGCCTCATTCTCCTCCAGACCTGAGAGTGGACATGAGTTGCGTCACACAAACTCTTATCAGTCAAAAAAGCAATAGCAAAGGCGTATTTGCTGACCCCTTGTGCAAAGGATGGATGGTACTAGGGAGGGTGAGAAGTAATGAGTTGACCGTTGTTGCTGATGCAGTATTTGTGATTTGGAGTGCTGTGAGGAAGGGTGCCCGTCCAAGTGGTGTTATCTGAGATGATCTGGGTATGACCATCCTTCTCATCCTGCTGCTGGGGCACTCTCAATGCGATCTCGCAACTGCCAATCCTCGGTAGAAATGTAATTAGGGAAAGGGGTAGAAAAATGCATAGCTTCGACTATATGATCTTTCAATAAACCTTAACAGCAGCACGCATGCCTTTCTTGCATGGGAGTTCTCTCTCTCTCTCTCTCCGCTGTTGCATAGAGGCACTGAACAGCGAAACAATGCCCAAAACCACCAGTTTGGAACTTGGATGGAACTGTGCCGACAATTGCCACCTGGAGTGTCTGTCTCTAGGTGCTTCACCCGCTTTTTGACCTCTGCCACCTTCTGGTCAGCCTCTTCCACCTTGCCACGTCTGATCGTTGGACTCCGTTGGAAGGTTTGCAGACTGCAGGGCGTGTTAGGGCCAGTAAGCGGCCCAAGTTCATGAGCTCTGTGGGATCACGATCTCTCGGAGAAAGAGTCTATCACCTGTATCATGTATCTAGTATCAAAACCAGCCCAAAGAATCGTAAAAAGAGGTCCGTGATTACAGGTGCGAAGTTGCAGGGGACACATGAAATCAGCTATCTTTTTGGATCCTTGGAGTGCAAACTGGCGTGGCTCCTGCTGTGAAACGTGGAGCGATGGCCATGCCATCTTCGTACCGGCGGGAAAACGGTGAAACACATAGAGTTGTGCCCATGGAAGGATGTCCGGCCTTTCTCTTCACGGAAACCCCCCTCACAGATTAGACAATGGAATCTCATGAGCACAGTCCGCCCTTCATGGGTGTGCTTTGACAGCAAGGATCTTCCTCGCACCCCATGAAACATAGATTCTCGCCTCCTGTTGATTCGGCTTTGCTCCCCAAGTGGGAGAACCAACGTGCTGAAAAACTGCCATGTCAGCATGTGCAAAAACCCTGTTTGTCAGAGCAGTTCAACATCCTGGCATTTTTGGCGCCAACACCTGTGAACGACTCTCCTGGTTCTATGACTGGGTGTCAGTCAAGTTTTCAGATTTTAAAGCATCCTGTTTAGGTCTTCTTCACCTGCTCCAAGCCATCAAGAACAACTTCCGAGGAACGTTGCGGAGTCAGTTCTCGCTCCCAATTTTGGCATCAAATTCCCCAGCCGTGATGCTCTTGGCAAAGTCCTTGGGCATCAAGGCATGAGGCAAACAAGTGCTTGAATTGGTGTGATTACTTATGAAGTTTTTGAAGGACTGGTCGTATTGAAATCTGCTTAACATTGCCAACGCAATTTGCAACAGGTTTGCCTTCAACTGGGAACCGGAAATCATGATAACCATTGACAACTGCTGATGAAAGCCCGTAGATTAAGATGGTTCAAGTTTTTCAAACAAATGGCAAAACCATGATGGAAACATGCACATGATAAACACGACTCCATAACGCTGTCACTCAGTCCATGATTTCGACTGCATCCCAGCAGCGTGGAGATTCGCAAGGCGAAGATGGTAGCAGGCCTTCCGAAGCCGTGCCCAGGCCGCAGCCGTCTCGGAGATGTAGACCTGTGGAGTCTGTGTCTTTTCGTACAACTACGGCGGTAGTCCATAGAATCAAAAGAGCGTGTAGGCATGGGGGGACATTGTTGGTCTTGATGGCATATGTAATGGCAAAGAAAAGTGCCAGGGAAAAATAGAACAAACGTGATCTCTTGCTCCCACCTTCTCCTCCTCGTGTGCTGTTTGCGCAAGGCGCCTCGGGGTGCCAGGACTTCACGTCCAAGCTTCAATTGGTACTGATTGCCAAAGCAAATCCTATTTTATATTAGTAAATTCTATAGTTTTACAGTTATGCAGTATACAGTAGTTATAACTAATATTAATGTGTAATTAAGCTCGAGCAACAGCATGTTTGGGAAAACTTGTCAGCATGATCTAGCATGCCCCAGCATCATAGACTAATCTCAAAATCGCGTCGATCTCAGCCGGGCAACTTTGACAGATTTACCTGCAGGTGATGCAACATCTGAAAATGGGAAAGCAAAACCTAACTTAAGCTTTGCCACACACAGGGCCACACAACTTCCAATTTACAGCCTGGCTATCCAGGCACACCACATCTTGTCCAGGTGAAAACAGCCTATGTCCGAACAAGTCTTGCCGACGGCGTCGCCTGGGCTTGGGCATCCTTTTCCAATTGAACTTCCACGGACTGGGCCCGCAGTTGGTAGGCGTTGATCTCTTCATCGGCCCTCTCTTCGATGCCCTGAGACTTCATCAAGCTTGGATGATCACTCAAGAGACTACTGTCAAGGGTTCAAGTTTGGGCCTTAAGTTTCACCAAACTTTCCAACTGCACCAAATTTCGGGTGTACATCCTCCATATAAACGGGCATGATGCGCCTCAACGCCGACGCACACAATGCCGTTTTTTGCATAATGAGTCAGCATTTCTTGCAGCGAGGCTCCACAAGAAGTGATTTGTTTTAGCCCGTGTGCCAAATCGACATTGCGCCCCCAAGTTTGAAACGGCGTGGCTTTGTGTGGCTGTCTATCCTCAGTGCTCTGTCTTGATGCGGATTGTTCATCTCCCCTGATGTCAACTTAGAAGTGTCTAAATTATCTGTTTCATTTGTCGATCCTGGCAGTATCAACTCATCACCAAATCCACCCCATGTTCCTCCACTCTTCCCCTCACACGGGGCACCTGTATCTGTCCCTTCCACTGCTGCGCTTCTTTCAGCGTCTCGTCGGCAAAGAGCTCCTCCCTGCGCGCCGCCTCCGCCGCCGTCTCGTAGGTCTGGAAGACCTGGTCCTCACTCTGGCGCTGGCACCTTACAAAGGAATGGGAGTGCTTCGTTGCGCATCGCGATGCAGAGTTCATGTCATGGCCAGGCATGGGAGTTCAAAACAGCCAAATAGCGATACTCAGAACTATACATCGAAGGCCAGGTCTACTGACGCTGAGTCTACAGTCTACAGCAAAGTGACCAAGTAGAGACAAAAACATTCCAATATTGAGCCACCAAGTTGCTGCAGAACAATCTGAATGCAGCTCTCTTGCATCTCCTTATTTCTGGCCTAGCCCAAAGCACAAAACCTCTCTCGTTTGCTATGAGAAGCCTCAAATGAGCAGTGAACTACCAATAGTTCTTTGCGACCTGTCAAGCTAGATGCCATAACGTGAAAGCAAAATTCAACAAGCCATATTATCAAGATTTATCAAGTACTAGCCCCCAACTATCTTCATCCAAAGTGATGAAATGTGTAAGTGGCATCTGGCCTCCATGGCCTCTGTGGTCTGTCTCATGGCCTGAGTAACGCCGTCGAAAGCTTCCTGGCCAAAATGCCGGTTCATGCTGGGGTCACTGGAGATCTGCACTGCCGAGAAGCCAACCCAATTCCGATTACATCCAACAACCAAGCTCCTAGGGACATAAAATAACGTGCCATATGTATATTTATATAACTATATGTGTGCATAAATGTAGTTTCAATATCTGCAGACAAGGGGTTGGTGTCATAGTAGCACGCAGCCCATTCAAGTGGTCAGAGCAATAGCAACTGCTGCAAGTCCTTGCTACAGCCACCAGGACATGCCATCTCATCCTTCTAAAGCCCAGAATGAAAGGGACCCGCCTGGCGTCGTTCCTCGCAAGCCTTAACCTTCTCCTCCATGGATTCACGGTCTTTCTTCCACTCCTCCATGATGGATTTCATCCTGGAGGAAGGGGCACAGAAGCTCGGATTCGGCATGATGCACGGAGCTTGTGACGAACATCCACCGTTGTTTCCATTGCCATTGCCTTCTCTACATCAGTGGCGACAAAAAGTTCAAACACTGCCGGCACTAGCAGTCTTTGCTTGGGTGGCATCGTGCAGGCTCTGGTACTTTGCATGAAGGTCTTCCAATTCCGCCTGCACCAAAGGCCAGAAACAAACTTCATGTCGCACGACCTTGCAACTCAGAATCCGTCCAACGTCATCAAGTCAAGGAATGCAATCGAACTGGCCTGCAAGGCTTTACGCTTTGTCGCCGTCTCTTGCCAAGTGCTTTGAGCTTCTTCCACTGACTCCTTGAAATTGTCCAGCGCTTTGGATTCCAATTCTTGAACCTTACCTTAGTGTGCATGGTTCCAGCGCCATACAACATGCAACTGGAAATGCGAAGCAGGCGGTATTGCAAGTGAATCTGCTGACCACCTAAGGTACTGCATCGGACAACCTGGAACCCAAACTAAAGTCTGCCTTTTGAGTCACCCACTCAGGCCACTCACCTTTAAATGAGACATGGATTCTCACGTCTGCTGGAACAGATTGGCACACTGGTACATGCTTTCATCCATCCCTCCCAATTTCAGCAGTCTTGGACAAGGCTACGCTGTTCGTTCCGCGTGTTCATGGCCGCTTCCTCCTCAATCTTGGCTACATTGAGTTTGGCCAGTCGGATCTCTTCACCAATACTGGCCTTCACCTGCGCAAAAGGGCATTTGGTCTACCCCTCAGGAAACCATAGAGATCTCTGAGGATCATCCTCGAGCATCCTTGCTGTCCTTGCTGCTGAAAGCAGCACACGCCCGCCATTTCAATGGTTTCGACATCCCACCTCGGCGCAAAAGGCCTTGGCCGCAGCTAAATGACCAGTGGTTTGGGTCATCTTCTCTGCCAAGGCCTGGCCAAATGGAGCAGCTGAGCAGCTTGCTGAGACACATGATAGGTATAGTAGGTCTGCCAAGGTCACCAAAAATACCAATACAATACATTCAAATTATTCTTATCTATTCGTGTGAATGACTCAAAGGTCAACACAATATAGAGGCATGAGATCAAGTTCACGAATGGACATTTGGTGAAGATCAAGCTCCCCCTCCCTCTAGAAACTAGGAGCTACTAGGTGGAGGCCATCGCTAGTAGGTTGGAGGCCATCGCTACTAGTAACGAGACAGCTTTTCAGTATGTCTTTGAAGCTTCTTACGAAAGCTTTCTAGTAACTTCTAATTAGTAACGACGACCAAAGCTTCCTTGGGAATCGTTTCCACCTCGTCGCTGCGCATTCGTAGTTGGTGCGTCATCTTCTCCAGCTCCTCCGGCTACAAGCAGTCACCCACATACAAGGGGCGTTTCATCTCATTTCAGCCGTCTTGACTTTTATTGGGTGATCAAACACCCTCAACCAACTGCTGTGACAGATTTGAGGCATGCAAGACAGGTCACTGCCACTGCCATGTCGACCAATACAAGTACCGTATTTCTTCAACAGGCACACCAGATACCAAGAACTAGCTCAAAAAGAACAGATGTGTGCCGTTACGCAGCATGAAGCGGAGCAGTGACAGTTGGGATGTTGTGTCGTCTCCTTCACCTGCTGCTTGGACTTTTCTTCATGTAGCTTCATTCGGCCCTGCATCCGTCAAATCTCGTGGGCAAAGAAGTAATATCCACAGGAACTGTGCTGGCAATGGGGCCCCAAATGGGCCCAATGGACATGCTCCAAGAAACGCACAACTGTTGTGTTCAATGCTTTCACCATGATGCAAATGATGCATGTCTCCAAACACCCGCAGCTCACCATGACGCGTGCGTGACGTGCCGCGTCGCGTGTGTCAATTCGAAGGGTCGAAGGCACAGCAAAAACCATAAATAGACCGACTGAAGTCCAAAGATGATATTTTGACCGACTGAAGTAAATAAAGGAAATTCCTTGACTCGGGTCACCTAAAGACCATTCTCTTTATAGTCTTTCACTCCCAGGCAATAGGGTGACACCTTCCCATCCCTGCCAGTCGGGCCTGTGCTTGTGTCCTGGTGGCCTGGTGCATCTCTGCAACCTTGTCCAAGTGTGAAACAGCGTGGTGCCGCTGTGATTCTTTTAGTCGAAGGCCTTGGTATTTCTTCATGAGCACCCCAACTGTGGAACCGACAAGATCGCTCTTCAGGAACACGGAACATGTCAGGAGAGCAAACATGCATCCCAAGATCAAAGTTCCAGGGGGTGCCACAGCGTATGTCACGGGGAGAATGGAGCTCTCACTTCCCTCCGATGTGCCAGTTGGAGAGTGGACAATCCGAGGTATTATGGTCCAGTTGCTCTCATCCGATTCTGATCGATAGTGCAAACATGTTGACAGCGTTAACACATGTTAACAGTTGCAAACATGGGCAAAAAACCTCATCTCTGAATAGAAGCATGCTGAAGGATATAATTTGGTGGAGACCATCCAAGTGATTGTTCTGCCAGCTTCCAGAGCACCACCAAGTCACTTGACTTAGTTTGGTGGATCACATCTTCCACAAAGGCTTTGGTTTCCGCCTCCCTTGCTGCAATATCTTGTAGGAGCTTCTCCTGGTTCACTAGAGCTTGTCAGTAGCACCAGGGCCCTTTGGTCAGGGACACAGAGTTCTGGTTTGCTGTGTTGCAACTTCTGACCGGAAAAGTACTTCACCCTAACAGCCGCCAACTGAAGCTCGAAGTGTTTGAACAATGAGAGTGCAAAACAAGCAAAACCTGATGCACCAGCAAGTGACACAACTCAACTCCTTGAACTCCAAACGGTCTGTGCGGTGAAAGTCCACCACATTCTTCACTTCTGACTTTCTTGCTTCAACTGCCTCAAAACCAACTTTGGACTCATTCGTGTGAGATGTCGCGAAATACATTGAATCAAAACTCAATCGTCCCAAACCTGGGCGGCAGTTTCTTTAACTGCACCCAATTGAAAGCGCAGTGAAAAGGCCGTTGTGTTCAACAATGTTCAGATTGCGCCCCTCTTAAAGCTTAGTCTCATAAGCCTCTCTAAGCGACTACCTTCCAAATCCTTCCAAACATATCTTGAATGGCCCTATAGACATGTCGATATGAGCAACAAACTGAAATGGTAAGCAAAATACATCCAGGATATCACTTTACCTGCGCCTCATGGACATCTTTGCCTACAACTGCCAGGCATGACCCTCTTGAATTCGATCAACTCGCCCTCGGTGGGACTCACCGGCGCCTCCTCGGCCTGGCGCAGTGCTGTGTGCGCCTCGGTCTCGGTCCAGGCGCTGAAGGTGGCCGACTCTTCACGGGAGCCGAAGACCCGCTGCTGCGCGCGCCTCGGTGGGATCTTTGCTGAGATGATTCACTCTGTTGGAGAAGAAAAGGGAACACACTTTGGGAAGTCATCAAATCACGTCCATCTGCAAAAAAGGGCAATGAGCTACAACTCTTTCCCCCTTTTCAACGGAATATTGTATCATGTCAATTGTGCAACTGTGCTTCCTGTACAGAACTGATCTGACCGTTTTCCGGGGGGGCATGCGTGCACATGTAGTGCTGCAAATGTTCCTCAGAATGAATGCAAGTATGAATGGCCTCTCCCTGTGCCAAAAAACAAAGATAGAATGGCCTCTTCCTGGCTACACTGCTCCATGTTCACCATGATTCCGCGTTGATACGGAATAGACACCACTGATCCAACGATCAAAGGCACTGCTTGGCCAAGTGGGCTTCGGCTTCCTGAGCCTGATAATTTCTCAAGCAGCCAGGAAAGGCCAGTGAAGAAACAAATGGAATGAATATTCTGTATGCATATCGTGTTACAATGATCTGACATGATTGATATGATATGATATGATACGATATGTATAGCATTGTATGCACCAGTGTATACTCATGTATACAAGCCTCTTACAGGTCTTTCTTGCTTCGAAATGTGAGACACCGTTTTTCACCAGAAATTCATGGCATACCAAAAGTCAACAGCACATCCCCCACAGCCTGATAGACGCCATGTTGAGCTTCCATCTCCTCGAGGGCTGCATCTGTCTGTATCTGAGTCTTCCACAGGTGCTCCTGCCACTTAGGATGGTTCTGACGATCAACAAGCCAAGCGTTTTGGTTGCGAGCAGCACCTTTACCTCGGTATGATTATTCCTTGGTAGCAACGTGCAGCACACTTGATGTGGCCACCAATTGGCAAACGTGCTTCCGCGCATCCTGTAAGGGTACCAAACAATCCAAACAGAGCACTTTGACAAAACCGCTTGCCAAGTAAGACGAATTGACCTGCGTACTAGCTTGATCTGCATCGCTTTTTCGGATTGCTCTCCTGAGCCTGGGAGATATCACGTTGCAGGCTTTCTGCAGCAGCCTCGCGATCCTTAATTGCATGTGTGAGCAAAAGGATGAAAGCGGCACACCGCGGCCACCACCATGGGCACTACTTTCCACCACCGCCACCCGCGCACAAACACTTAGCTTCGTTGAAAGCCTCTAGACTCCATATGTAAATGAAAGGTTTACCGGTCCCAAGAGCTGTGCATATATTCCCCAGAAGCTCTTCAACATAACAATTCCCACGTAGGAAAGTCTAAAGTGCGTCATCCTGTTGATTGTGTACAGAAGCTTTACAAAATCCAACTCTGGCCACGCACCTCTTCAAGACCTCCCCAGCGAGGGAGAAAGTACGGAATCAAGCGGACCAAAATCAGAAACCTTCCCAGGTCAGCCTATTTGCTACTAGGAACAAGTGCATCGCTACTAGCAACAAGTGCCTTACTAGTAGTAACAAGAAGCTAGTAGAAACAAGTGCCACGCTACTAGTAACAGGTGCCTCACTAGTAGTAACAAGAAGCTACTAGGAACAAGCCCACATCAACACGTTTCGCCGTTTCGATGGAAACGATTGAAGCCGAACCGGTCAAGCTGCTCGAAGCTGTCGAGCCCGAAAAGCCCGGTGCCTCTCCCGAGCGAAGGCCTCACCAGTTTTGCGAGCCAAGGGTGGGAAACGAAGGAAACTTGGGATTCCGAGGTAACCTATCTTATCATATCTTATCTATCTTGCTGAGAACAGAATTTCCATGAACTTGAGGTTGTGGCTCTTTCGGGGGATTTTGGTGGTGCAGCCGCGCTGCCTGCAGTAGATTCATCACCAGGGATCCCGGGATCATTCTTGTGTATTTCAACATTCCATGGCTTGTGCTTCCAAAGTGTTCAATGGCTCTGAATCTGATTGTGTGAAACTTGTGGTGCAAAGTCAGAGGCAAAGCACGAAGACGCAAGAATTGCCCATGAGGTCCACTTGAGTCTCTCCACACGATTGGAATCTGTTGGGTCAGTGACTTGGGAATACCATTGAGTGAAGCAAGCCGAACCCTTGACTTCGTTGACGGATCTTTAGCCAACATGCTTTTATGAATATGGTTAGGAAAAAATGCATCGCGCTACAGGTCACTGTGGTTTGGCGTGTTTGATGGCAAATGCGCATGTGGATGCAGGATGTGGGCTCTTTTTCGATCTGGCCGTCAAGGTGCCTGCCCTGCAATGATGTATATGATGTATGCACTAGGGTTCAATCCACCATCGATTCAATGGGTGTTGCCGAATAACCATAATAACCATTGTTTTATGAAGGATTTCAATCTGCAACACCAGGTCAACCTCACCAGGAACCTCACCAGGTCAACCTCTCATTCTAAGTCTTGAGTCTTGTGTAGCCATTTATTAGTGTTTTTGTGCTGCACGCCCGCTTTCACACAACTTCCCATCCTGCCAAGAGGCCAAACGCTCGGCGCCGCGCAATTCCACTTTATGTTGCTCTCTTTTGAGCTCCTTGAGTTGAGCTCACGCTGTGGGAGAAATCTCTGTGAAAAACCATATGGACCATATGATGTTTGCTGATGTTTGCTGGAAGTAAAGCTGGTGTGTTTGCCGTTCTCCATGCGCTCCACGCTTCCAACATCATGCTCTCCTTGGCCTTCCATGCGGCGTGCACGGCGCCTTTTTCTAGCTCACTGCCACGAGGAGGTGGTATTGGATGAGCCTTCGCCTTCCTCGGTAAGCCACTGCTGGGGAAGTACGCAGTCCATAGACAAGTGGAGGTGAACAATTCAGTAAAAAGTTGACCATTGAATCCATTGAATGTCTAGTCACTAGTCTAGTGAAACCTGCCACGGGGCAAGGCATTACATGTCACACACACACACATGCACTCTGGATCCTTGTTTGACCTCCACAATGATGTGAAGATTCTACACCAACTGAGCACAAAGCAACTAGGACTCACCAAGACACGGTTCTGGAGCATGGTCTTGTGGCTCCATGGCGTCGGTTTGAACTGAGAAAAGGCATCGGCCATCAACATGTGTTCAGAAGCAACTAGGTGGGAGGCCATCGCCATTAGGTTCCAGGCCATCGCCACTGGGTTGGAGGCCATTGTACCACTAGTAACAAGAAAGCAACCTTTTGCGGTCGAATGTTTCCACCACTGGGGTGAACAGGGCTCTCAGTCAGCAATCCTCTCTCCAGTTGCACTTGCCGTGGAACACATACACCCATCATCCGCAGCTTAGGACAAAACATGCCCAGGTCTTTGGTCCAATTGGTCCAATGCCCAGTTTGCTCCGCCAGATCCTATGCTGACCCTACCAAAAAAATCCCGACCAAATGTCTTGACCACCAAGGCCTTGTTCCGCAGCTGCTGCACTTCCTGCCCAATAGGCTAAGCGCCACGAAGCACGACCATTAGCTTAAAGATGCTTAAAGCGGCTTGATGTTTTCTGCGTGCTCTGGATTTTACTCCGTGACTTCTAGGGCCAGGGGCTTGGGTGCCGGATTGTATACCCCAACAAACGGTCTAGAATCATTTGAGAGGGCGCCGGGGCACCGGGTGTTGCTGACCTCATCAGGTCAGGTTGTTTCAGCTTTTCGTCGTCTCCTGGTGCGCTTGAAACGACAAACTGATGTCATGTGAGAAAGCTTCATGTTCATTCCCAAAAGACATGAACAGACTTAAGATTTCTCCGCGGGCGCAAAAGCCTGGAAACAGAAACACGACTCAAAGGACCGGCGTGGTTTGTCCTTCTGTTCCACTGGTCAAAGCAAAACTACAAACATGACCCACCCCTACAAACAGAATAAGGCTAAGGTTGAGCTGGACCAACCTCTTTGTATGCCGGCTTCGTCCAAGAAGGACAAGAAACACTGTGATGAACCTTGACGATTTCTAGACTGGTCCATGCTCAAAAAAACGGAAGCTAACATTTCCAGGGTCCACTTTGATAGCTTAGAGACGAACACTGCAAGGGGACACCCATAAGTACCTGAGAGATCCTGAGAGTGCCTCGATCACATCCTCACAAATGGTGCCTACGGCTACGACAAGTAAATCAGAACTAAAGCCTGCTGCCTGCTGCAGCAAGCTAGAGCAACCGCTTCAACTTTGACGATGTCATGTTCAGCATGGCCATAACCTCTAGGACTCCATAACCCTTTTTGGGCTCAGGACAAACAAAAGCAGGCGCAGCCCTGTTACATTCTTTATCGATTCTGAGCAGAGCTCATTAGGCGGCTGATTCCTGAAGCATTCTCGACACATGGCAGCTACACGTAGCAATGAAGGGGCTTCTGCCGGAAGATCGGCACTCGGGACAAGCCGGTAGGCCTTATCTGGTTGCTGAAGATCAACCCGGTTTGGTGAAATCGGAAAGAAAGAAATTGGCCATTGAATGGCACGATTCGATGATGGTGCAAAGCGTATCTTTCGAAGAAGGCTTCACAGGCTTCACAGCAACCAAATTGGATTTGGCCCTTTGTACAAAAATAGGTGGTCAAGCAGTCTTCGCATTCATTCCCTGGACAAGCACTGAAGAAGCATCTCTAATAACACTCCAAGACTACAACAGAACCATCAGTGCTCGCATCCAGAGGACCCATACAATTGTGCAAAGCGCAAAGGTTCTCCTATAGAATACATAAAACACATAAGTCCCGACACCTCGTAGTTGGTTGACCTGACTTTCAGCCAGTGGCCTTCGAAAATAAACCCATATATATATATATAAAACATTATAAAACCCATTTCATCCCATTTCGTTGTGAACGTCACAGTTACTGTACCGGCACAAGCTGCACATTGCACGGAAATTCAGGGATTATCATCAATCTGCTTATCATTGCGGCGGCAATGATCGGAGCTACAGTATTCACAAGCAAATCCATGGTCCATTCCACGCAACTGGCACTGGATTTCCTTACACGCAAAGATCTGCACATGCACCGAGCCCGTCTGCACACCAGGCCCAATGCAACATCTTTGCCGTTGGAATCCGAAATGGAAGAAAGCACGCAGCCAAGACGCTCTGCTCGCGTCTTCTTTTTCATGTCGGATGATGTCATATGCGGAAATGTCCCAGTAGCTCTGAAAGTAATCTATGGCACTCGAGATCAAAGCTCATGATCCAAGTTTGTGACTAAATTTTGTTGCGCTATTTGTGATCTTTCATCTTTGATGATCATTGGCTGTTTGTACCTTGTTGGCATCTCTTCCACAGCTCGCGCCTCAAACTGCCGCAGAAAAGGGACTTTCTTCACTCAGGCGGCGGCTGAAGAGCGCTGCAGGAACATGCTCAGGGCTCAAGGTGACCTTTACGGCCGGGACCTGATGCAGTCATTGCTGGGTTCAAGGGTCGGTGACGGGTCGGTGCATAAGTGTAGACTTAAGTCGTCACAAGGAATCTAAACCTAAGGCCTGTATGGCCAGCATTGTGTGATTTTATCTCTTTGTTGGAGGCCTCTGGCGGCCTCTGGCCGAAGAGCTGATACCACCAACCAAGGTGGCGTTTGGCCAAATGCCTGTTCTGTAGGTCGATGGATTGTGCTCAAATCATGTTGAATCGTAGGTTCGCAAAAGGTCGGCACCCTCGAAACACTGTGCGCAGGTGTTTTAGCAGAGCGGGGCCAGAACACATCAACCAGTGGATACGTGTGAGACGACCAGTTCAAACTCCAAGATGCAGGCTGCGGCATGCTCTTGGCATCCACTCGGATCAAAGCTGCAGGACGGCCATCGACCATGACTAAGTCTCCTTGCAGGGCAAAAAAGCTTGAATCATGCACAGATGACGCTTGCACAGGCTGCTGATTCATCAGGGCGAAAACATGCGAATATTGCATGTTGATGACTGCGTGAGACCCTAAGGCTAATGCCGAGGCCCTGTCCTAATATAGGCAGTACAAAGTTGCCAAATTCAACTCCGATCGAAACCCTTTTCCGAAACTAATCAACAAACAAGGAGGAACTGAAGACTGTACCACACAACACCGCAACATGGCCTTGGATTTTTCCACAAACGGCATGTCGCCTTCGTCAACACAACGTGACTCTCTCCCTGAGAAATGTTCACCCTCTGTCCGTGCGGTCAATCCGTGCCGCTGAAACATCAAAAAAACATGGCAGTGGCAACATTCTGATTCTGTCTGTTGTTTGGGAGGAACGTTGGTTGACGCCAAATCACCACAGTCGTCCCCAACACCCGCAGATCAGGCTCCTGCCCTGAGTTCACTGGCTTTCTTGATGCCCTCAACAACGGAAATGGAGTGGTCAGGCACAACCTGCAAGATCCTGAGACGCACAGAACACTTGGAGGAGCCTTTGAACGTGCAACCGGCTTATATAGTTCCTTTACGACACGGTAGGTGCCCAGATAATTACTTGTTGTGTCTCCATGACAAGTACGTTTCTCCTGGCATGATTACGTTTGAACTCATCCAACGTGACCTTCGCAAGAACATGCAAGAACAATTGAAACGTGGCTTCAGCCTGAAGTGCACAATGCACTAGAGTCACTGGAGCAAGGAACTCTGCGATCGTTTTGCGTTGCTATTCATCGCTGCCCATTGGCTGCATCGCTACAATCTGCAACATGTCCACAAAACTGAACACTTAACTTTAACACAACACCTCGATACTCGAGTGCCGCCGGCATGTTTGCGGAGCTCTTTCTATTTAACTGCCCATGACACCAACATTATCCAACAGTAAGATTCATCAGGCTCGGTTGGTCCAAGTGACACGTCCCCAGCCCAAAGTTCTAAGACCTCTGAGGTGAAAGCCTCCTCAGGATCATCGAGCACCTGATGAGCACCAGATTTTTCCAGAAAGGGACGCGCACCCGCCAAGCGAAGGCACCAAGCAACCTGCAACCGACCCTCCTATCTCTCTTCATCGCCCTCTACCCTCCTATATATATATATATATATAAATATTCCAAGCCAAATGTGCACGCAAGGTGGGCATCACATCCAATGTTCCCCCATGTTTATTGCTTTTGCCCGAGCTATGCCCCCAGCCCACGCCCAACCCGTAGTAAAGCACCTTGCATGTTCGTCCCTGAATCATCTAAATAATACTATTTGAGGCCATCCCCACAAACGAGCAAAAACGTGGTTGGCCTTCCAACGAGGTGGGCTGGTGGATCTTGTACTCCGTGTGTGTGTGTGTTAAAGCCCCGTTTCCAGGGGCACTGCTCGGAAAGGGGGTTATGTCGCTAGCAGGGGGGACTGCCTGACACGCAGTGGCTGTCCAACGAAGAGGCAGTTCTGAGTCACTGATATGCACTCAGGAAGCAGAATCCACGTACCTGCTTTCAAGCTCAATGATTTAAAATTCTTTGTTGCGGAATCTTTCACCTTGCCGTTTGCGGATGGCCATTGACAGTTTCAGGTCGTTTTGCACTAGTCGTCCAATGCAGTAGCTAGATCGTAAAGCATCACTCCACTCTTGGGACCACCCGGAATTGTATGGAATTGTGCTCTTGCGAGCTCTTTCTCTCAAGTGCGATACCTTCACGTCCACGTCGTCCCAGCCTCCAAGACCGTTTGCCCATCTTGCGCCAGCAGGCGGCAACCTTTGCTCAGCTCTGAAGCCTCCCGCGTCGTACAAGTGGTTTACGGTTTCATCATGAAAATGTTTACAAACAAACGACCGTCACTTCTCATGGTTTTACCAACTACTCCACGGCAAGTTCACAGGGCACACATTTGCTGTCCAGAACTGTACATTCACCGTACATTGCTTTGCTCTGAACATTCTTGAGGTCATGCACTGGCTGTCTCTCCGCCATTGTTGTACAGTAAAGTGCACCAATGCAGGGTCAAAGGAACAGGCTACGAAGGACTGTAGGCCACGCCTGTAAAGCTCGTCCACCAGTCACAGGCTTAAAGGTCACATCAGCCAGGAAAAAGGAAGGCTGGCTCTTGGCAATGCAAACCTCAGGTGCAGTGAGCTCTTTGAGAACTGAGATGAGTATTGTTGACTTGGAGGAATGCGTCTCACCCATCTCCACAACCAATACAATAATTGCAGCTTGGTTCAAAAATGTTCAAAAAATACAAAACTGCTGCTCGGACTTCGTGACCCTTCATAGTGGCAGGCTTGCCACTTTCAAACTACAGAGCTTCGATTTAACCTGGGGCAGAATACCCCAGAGTCCAGGACTAGCGACATCTAGCGACAAACCTGGGGCGTAATACCCCAAGTAGTCCAGGAGGGTTTAGGTTCCAGTATGCAGGTGAACTGGCTACAAAAGCCGATGACGAATGGATGACTTTTCCCCCGTGGCGTGGCCCAGATTCGCCGAAATGTCAACATATTCAAGACAAAAGTCCCAAGAAGAAAGGTCGCTGGCAACGGACACGTCATCTTCTGAGGGGTGGCGTTCATCTCGCATTGCAGTAAGAGATCCTCCGCTGCGAGCGCAACCCTGCAGGTCGTAGGAGGCACCTGTCTTCTACGGTGCCCGAGCCCTCATGCCTTCTCATGGCCCCTCAATGCTCTAAAGTGCATCGACTGACTAAGAAAGCCACAGTATTGTAGACAACCAGCATGCATGCAAGACTCGGTCGCAAAAGGTGACATCTTTCCAGAATAGGTTGCCCCTCATCTTGTCATTCTGCTCCTTCACAGCTGGACCACATCTTCAAGTGGCAACCAAAGACTGTCTTGGAGAAATGACACAAACAAAGTGGTGTGGATGCAGACCCTCTGCGCTCCTCCAGCCTTTTCACGTTCAACTCTTGCTGTAGGCAACGCTCCTACGAGTACAGCAAGTCTGCAGTCAAACAAGGCATCTCCCCTGTCCAAACAGAGTGATGCCCATTGTTAGGTACGCAAAGCAAACCTTGTCAAAACATTCCAACTCAACTGGCATCAGTGTTCTTCACTGTCAGCAGCTGTGAACAGTTGCCGTACCCCACCAACCCTATAGCATTTGAAGGCATGCTTCCCGGACAGCTGACTGTCGCTGAACTCCGACCGAAAAGGACACAAGTTGTACTTACTTCAATGCAGCGAAACTTCTTACTGTCTCGAACAGGGGGCCCACACAAGTACACAAGCAATGGAGCTTGGTCGCTGGCTCCAACCCACGGACCCGTTTCTGACGACTCCTTCCTCAACCTTCCGACTGAAAACGCCTTGTCATAGTGCCAGGGCCCACTTCATCGGTCACCAGTTGCAGGGAAGGCATACACAAAGCCCCAACGGAGTGAATCTGTCTTAACTAAACCTAGTAAACCCATCTGCATACTAGTGTGGGGAGTAAGGGTGTGTATCATGGACCATGGGTCGACAAAACTAATCTATAAATCCTACAACACTGCTAAATTATCTGTAACCATGATATGTTCGGATAATCCCTGAATACAGTATGGGTTGCATGTGACTGTGTATGAGTCCTTCAAGATGGCGTTCTCCTTCTCCAGCTCCACCTGCCTACACCTCACCCTCTCCAGCGCAGCTTGCTCAGCCACCCGTTCGCACCGCTCGGCCTGCAGCTCAGCCTCTAGGTGCTCCTGAACTGCGAGATCGGTGCACGCAACACATGTTTCGCCCCGGAGTCTAAGTGAGTTCCGATAACTGTTTTCATATGTTTTTCCGTGAGCATCCCACTAAATCAACTGTTGGCCAACGCGGGGTTGTTTAAAAGCCACCGTTGGTTGTCTTCGTTATACTTTAACGGTGCTGTGACCAGCTGCTTATAGCTGCTTCATTAGTAGTCTACGTCTACATTGGTGGGCACTGCATGCATTTGTGCTGTGTCGAACTCATCACTTTACAGTGAATGCTCGGCATCTCTCGGCCATGTTGACCATCCCTTAAAGCCCATGTTGGCCATCTCTTGAAAGTCCTTAATATCTGAACTGAGCTGGGCAACAAGGCCGAATGATCGGTGAATGCTTTTTTTCCGAAGCAACACTCATGTATCTGAAACCGATTTGGCTGTGGGTCAAAACCAGGATACCTTGGTTTACATACCGGCGAGGTCAAGCTACATGGTGGACCAGGGCTCCAGGTTTTGACCCATGCCCATTTCTGGACTCTACTTCCACCAATTGCACACCCAACCTTGAGCTGCTCAAGTTGCTGACCACGTTCCTGCCACACCGCCTGGCACAAAAGAGAAAACCAAGCAGCACGGACCAAGCGAGGGCCGCGAGGCGGTGTCCCTTTGCAGCACTGCACTGGTCTTGCTTCAGGCTTGTTGCTCCAGGCTGAAGATCTATGATGATCTATGATGTGCTGATCGGAATTGCTCACACAAAAACAATTTCTACGGGTCGACTCAAAGTATTCTATTCTTGCTGAGAATCAACAGAGTCCCAGCGCAAGCGCCTCGCTTTTGCTCAGTTCGGCCTTCTGGCTCTCCAGCGTATGGTTCTTGGAACGCAGCTGCGCCTGAGAACGCAGCAGTTCCCTAGTTTCAGCATGGTTCGCCTATTAGTGGTTTCAAATGCAAATTATACTACTGCTCCCCGGGAGTTTCTTTAGGTTGCTGAATGGTTCATCAGGAAATGAACTGAAAGCAATCAGCCGTTCATTTCAAGAGGAACCATCTTGGGAACTTCTCCTGCGGAAGATGCTGGGCAATGCTTTGTGGCAAAAAACTGCGAGATTTTGCATGTGCAGTGTGTGTGTGTGTGTTGCCCACGTCGCACCAGCGACCACTGATGGTGGGGATGGGTAGAATGAACATGGACACATGGAAGAGGAACCATAGGAACCTGTTCATTCAAATAGCATAGCCCCTCCGTTTCTAAGTCTACATGCATTTTACCCTTTCAATCTCCTGTGACAAAACTTATGCACAAGCATGCGCACAACCCTTACGACCTGTTTAACATCATGGCTTCATATTAAACATCCTCCGCCACTGTATTCATACGCCCCAAGTATATATATATATATACAGTATTAATTTTCTGTTTCTATCAACTGCCACACAATTGTGGCCCGCCTGGTCATCCAAGCTTTGCATCAGCAAGTCCTTCAAGATCTTCACCGCGGTATCCGTGGCCCTGCAGCGCAGTTGCTCCTGAGGTGTCGGAAAAGAGATGGTGGAAGCATGTGGGAGCAATACATTTCGACTTGTTTGCCCTTTTTTCAAGCCTACACTTTTGACGAATGTGCTTGCAGTATAGATTCATGGGTGTTGGTCCAACTTTAGAACAGTCCTTTCGGAGCTCATGCTGCGTTCTGCAATATTCTGCCAAAGGCCAGTCCTCCACGTCGCTGGTCTGAACAAGCAGCTCATCAGCTAAGGCCTCGTGGCACCGGCGCGACGTTCAACAGATGGCTTCACATCCTCATTCCACCAACTCTCCCACATCCTCTCACCAGCTTCCATCATGTCCATTAGCTTTTGCTGAAGATGCAAGTCGCCATACCGCATGTTTGTAATTACCTGAGCTTCCCAATCCCTGAAAAGCACTAGTTGCACTCCATGCCAAATACTGCATGATAAACATAAACGCAAACACACACACAGGACCCCTGCACCACCCAAGCCATGTCAGGTCCAAATCGCTCTGGGATCCTCAAGGCTGAGCTCCCGCATGCGATTTAGCCTTGGTCGGTCTAAGCCAGATCATGATGACATACCATGACATACCGACATACTGAGTCAGGGGTGACCACCCAACTTTATGTCTCCTTCTATTGGTTCTAGACCCAGGTACAAGTTTTTGTCAACTGCCAACAATACCAGACAGTTCACTTTCCGCCCCTTTACATTTCCGGAGTTGGATTCCACACTTCCACACATCAAATTGTTTGGTTGTGTCCAGTTATTTTTAGATCTACCTCTCATGCTGCTGCCATGTGTCAGTCTCACCCGATTTCTCAAGTGCATGACCCTCGATCAAGCAAGCTATGTCAGGTGCACAATTCTGATCTTGGACGATCTTTGGATGACAAGAAAGTCTATGAAACAAGATCATCCCAGTCCCATCCCTCCACCCACCATTGGGTGCCCGGCGCCGGGTGACAGGCGATGTCGTGCCTCCCGAAAGCCACAAAGCTTGGTCGATGTCTGCGCCAAGGTGGCAGCCCAGGGACTACCCCACTCCTGCGGTGGATGACACACCGGCCCAGGACACCAGGCCCAGGGTCTCTTCCTTTCTGAAATCATGCCACCTTCAGCCCTGAGATCGACTGAGACCCGTAAAGCTCCCACTGTTTATCCAGGGCATTCCATTGCAGAGGTTTCACGGCAGTGCGCATGTTCATGTGGAAGCAGCTGTTCATCTGACCTGAGTGAAACCGGTGACATGAAGGGTCCTTCACTGTCCCTGGCTCCTTAATGGTCAAGGTAATTTGTGGGGAGAGCAACCCTTCTTGGCCACCTGAAGCTTCAGTGATCCTTTGGATAGAAGGTTGGACTCCCAGAAACTGGTATGAGATGGTACCAGTACATCTTCAAACTCAAGAGTTGCTTCTCACCTTGTGCCTGGTGATGTGTCAAGCAATCGCAGGCCAGCCTCATCAATGCAAACGACTTGCACTGGAGTCACTGGAGAGTGGCACAAGCTTTTGCATGCCTTTGCTCGGCTGGCCTGCTGGCAGCTGCTGGCACGCTTCACTGACACTCGGTCTAAGCCGCTTTCCGAAAGTCGGCAGTCTTGCGAATAACACGATTAAACTGTTCCTCTTTGGATATGGGCATGAAGGGCATGAGGGCCTATCTGTGGCTCATGAACTGACAAGATGGAGTCCTTCGATGAGAAAGGAATTGGCAAACGATGGAATTGCTGGTGGTTTCTGATCCCCACATCTTCCCTGTGGCCACCCCCGAGGCCCGGCCTCAAGCTCCTGCTCGGTCTTCAAGATGGCGCTTTCCAGCAAGTGCAACTGAACCTTTGCAGCGGCCAGGCAGCTGGGCAGCGCATCCAGACCTGGATCATAAGACTTGCATCTCTCCCGAGGCTTGTTCGCAACATTTCACTACGGTATCTCTATGGTATCTCGGATTTGAATAAAACAAGTGACACAGTGAGTTCAGTGTGACCAAACTTGAGAGGAGGGAGACACGAAAGGTAGGACAGCGGGAAGAGAAGAGAACGCGAGAGGCAGGAACAAAAATGCAATGTTCGACATGGTGATTTATCCCCTCGGAGGCGACCTTTCGTAAATATATGTTCATATGCACTCTAAATGTTCAAACATATGCTCTCGAAATGTTCAAAAAGATTCTTAGGAAAACAAATTTGCCCCATGGCTCAGATCATCGGTGAGCATTGAATCGGAACATCATAGGATTTGAACTATCCTGAAACCATAAGAGGCTCACGAAGACGCTCCCCAGGAGAGAATTCACGTGCTTCACAAAACAAACTCTAGGTATGTATCCCCTCGGGGAACACCTTTCGTGATTAGAATTTCATATTCACTCTTTCTGAATGTTCAAGAGGGTTTCAACTATCCTGAAATCATGAGAGGCTCACGAAGACGTTCTCCAGGAGAGAATTGATTTTAGAGGGGGGGAGGGGAGGGGGGGGGGGACCGTATTAAAAAATCAATTCGAGGGGGGGGGGGGGGGGGGTGGGGTCTGAATTGAGCGATCAATTACAGTATTAGACCCGGACGTCCCAACACTTGCTTCGCAAGACAAACTCAAGGTATCCCCTAAAGGGCTACCTTTCGTGAACAGTGTGTCAAGTAGTGTCAAGGACGAGAGACGGACGTCGTGTCGCAGGGTGTTTTCAGGCGCCATGAGCAGAGCAGGGCTGGCGCTGGCTTGAGCCTTTGGAGCCTACTGGGAGTTGAGGCGATGCGGCAAATGTGTGACTGTCTGGTGTCTCAGAGCATTGTCACCCGACTTCCAGAACGCTCCAACTTGCTTACGAAGCTGCCAAGCTCGCTGGATGACAACTTGCATCAAACAAAGGTCCACCAAGTGCGTTGGAAGCGAGTTGCATTCAAAATCAAAATTGAACCAACATCAAAATTCGCAAACATGAACCAAGTGACCAAGAGTCCCCAAATACGGATCCACTTCAGTATGTCGTCTCACCCGCCTGCTGCGAATCCGCCAAGTGTTGTCGCAACTCCTCCAGCTCCAGTTCCAACGCCGAGGCCTTCAACAATAGAGCACCTCTATACACTATATATAGATACAAACACAATTGCAATTCTCACATAGCTTCATCATGCCCCATCTGTGCACTCAGTGTCCCGTTCCCTGCCTTTCTCATGTACTCCTCCAGATTCCCTTAGGGGCCAAAGAGTAATCCAGAAAAAAAAACACGGAATGACTATGGCAATGGTGTCCATGACGAGAGCTGACAATCTTCACTCATGCACCTATACCATCCATAGACCTTCAGAATGGTTCCAGAATATGCAGGATGCAGCTCCGACGCGTCGGGGGTTTTGCTTCTGTTGACTTCACTTCACTCTCCTTCAGATAGTTGACCTATCGACTCATCCTTGCAATTGCCTGAGGCTCACTGCGGGTTTGATCGGCTAGCTCATGCTGGGACTCCTGTGCATGGCCTAGCTCCTGGCCAGTTGATGACAACGCACGCACACACACACAAAGGTGACCTCAAGAAAATCCCAGCTCAAATGAGAGGTTTCAATGCCTAAATGTTAAGCAGTTTTCACAGCGGTGTGTCTGGGTTTCATCATCAAGTAGATCCCGGCGCAATCAAAACGTGCTCTTCTTTTCAACAGGCTCGCACTACGCATCACCACTCCAAACGGATGGTACTTGGCATTGAGAGACAAAACCGGCCTAAAATCTTCATGGAGTTCCATGAACTTCTTTCTTTGATCCGTAGATGATCAAGCCCGGGAGGGTTGTTTCAAACATGTTTTCTCCCATGCCTTGTGGAGGCCATCGCTATTAATTAGGGTGGAGGCCGCTTCTAGGTTGGAGGATATTGATATCGGGTTCCTTTTGCTAATGCTAGTATGGTTTCTCCCATGCCTTGTGCCTACGTAACTGCATCCTGGCACGCCAGTGCTCCAGGGCTCCGATCTATATACATTCGGGTGACCTTGGGACGCTTGTCGTTGAACCTCCAATGTTGTTCATGGGACAACGATACCGCGTACGTACTGGAATATATGTGGCTAAGATTAACTAAGCAGGTTGGTCCCTTGATTCGGAGTCCGCCTTTGGCACCTTGGGGGTTGCAGCTTCTGGGGCTTCGCGCGCTCCATGCTCTGGTGTGGCTGTGGCAGTTTGGCCAGGCTCTTTGTCCACACCCGTCTTGAGGAGGATCCTTGGTGTCCGCATCCCGTCCTTCGAGCCAAGCTCGCTCTATATATCCAGACTTGGGCCAGAGGTATGCGTGCGCCAACGCACTAACCAGCGCAATGAACAACAATACTGTAAAAACATCAAGGTTCATTAAGTCACCAAACGTCTGTTCAAACTCCAATAGGTGTCTCCGTTAAGGGCCACGCCAGGAGCCAAACCTCAATCTATGTCTTACATAATGTGTATCAAGAGTCATGCTCCAAAAAAATAGACCACCCGAAAATAACAGAAAACTATGTAGATGAAGCTGGATGAAACTAGTAACTAGTAACTAGCGGAATGTTTGAGTGCAATGCTTGGATTGAAAGACTGACATTTGCACCACTGTGCCAGCTGAACAAAGAAAAACCGACTCCTCTGCTCCTCACCCGCCAAGCATCTGCTCCGGGGACGCCTTGCTGTATCATCTCCTCGCGCTCAGCAGCCACGCGCTCCAATAGCACAGGGACGTCGGTGTTCAAAGCTTCCTACCAGTGGTGGCCAACAAGGGATCGATGAGCGTCGACTAGGGATTCCAACACCTTGGACGCCCCGGCCTCCGCTGCTCGAAACAAGTGCGACGGCACTGGCTTGATGGTCTTGTCATCACCAAAATTGCGGAAGAGCGCGACCCTGGCCAAGCTCATACTTAGTATACTTCTTGGGAATTACGGATATGGAGGTGTTGTGACACTGACAAACTGAATATAATTGAATGATACATCCCAAACACATGCCTCAATTCATTGATGCGTTTGACACACCCCAGGCTATATTATATACAACATCCACAGGCAATCCAAGAATCAACGTGTCTGCCACAGGGAAATCTTGCAAGGGGATGTTGGACTCCTGCGTCCGCATGCGTCAGCCACATAAAATTGATATGCTCATGGCACACGACCAAACAACCACACAGCTAAGAACTTCGCCTGCCCAGCCAAGCGTCCCTCTTTCCAACTGGATTTACCTTCCACGCTCGCTGTAAAACGACGTCTCCATTATATTCTACCCCGCTTCCATGTCCCTCCCAAGAAGTCCACCGGATCAAAAGTCTCAAGGCTACAAAAGAGCAGCGCTTTGGGCGAAACTCGTGTCTTTCAAAAATAGAATTGGCAGTGGCAAGTGTTGCGGTTGGTGAGCTTTCACAGTGAGCATTCACCCGTGGTTTCGCATGGTTTCGCAGGTCGCCTTCCGGGTTGCGTTGTCACAAGGCACTTGCCAGACTTCTTGGCCTCAGGAGAGCCAACGGATCCGCCGCCCCTTATTGCCCCTTCATTCCTCTTGAGTACCTGGATTTGCCTGTGTTTCGTTGCAAAAAACCGCCCGCGCCAGCTGAACAGATTATACACGTGGGCATGGGCTGCGTCCCAACCAACACAAGCCCCCTCAATGCGTCATTGTAGTAAGCATTGTATTTGGGAGATGTTGGGCCACCCTCACTGTGTTCCTCGCAAGGCCGCAAGAACATCTTTCAACGTTCAATGTGCAAAAGGCCCTTGTCCAGTGCAAGTCCTCTTGCTGCAAAACTCAGCCCCCCCCAGCTTAAAATAAACTGACCTCTGGAACAGCCACACACCACTACCCGTGCACGACAATCAAATCCTCACTCCAAAGGCATCCCAAGCAAAGAAGACGCAATGCGTGAAGCTTTTGCATCAACTGATATCAACTGAGCATTGCAAAAGTGCTTGAGACCCTGATCAAACAAGAGTTCACTGGCCTGAAAAGGTCCGACAAAAAAGAATCACACCATTTTGAACCTCGATCAGCTGATCCTTCATCTCCTTTGTGTCTGTGCATGGTCTCTACCAAAGCCAAAAAAAATACAAGAACCATCAAGAACCTACACTCTCAAGCTATTTGTGGTACCCCAGCGCCCAAACCTTCACAACACACCTATCCGGATCAAATCATCCCAAGTGGCGTAATTTGGCCTCTTCGCTCAGGAAGAAGTCCGGGTCTCGTCCGGCAACTCTGCACAGCGCTGCGCTGCGGCCGAAACAAAGACGTAGGGCATCTCCTCACCACCGAGACATGGCTGGCGGGGTGGCCACAGGGTGGTGTTGACCAGCTTCCACCAGCAACTCTTACTAATTTGATGGAGTCACGTGTGTGCCAACCAAGCCACCTAGCCACCTAGCATTGCAACACCTATATGAGTGTGATGGGCGAGATCACCGTCCTAACAGCAACAGCAATTCGGAGAGCAGTCTCAGCAGATGGGCAAGTTTAGAAGCCGAGATGTACAGTACATTGGCGTCTGGAGTGGGTCAAAAACGTTGTGAAACAAGGCAACAACAGCAATGAGCCCCAACATGCGGGCTTGTGCGTATAGGGCAAGTTCAATCTCTTGGGCCTGCAAGACTCAGCGGAGCCCGAGAACATCCACCGTTTATCAAACGGAGCTCAAGTTCACCCACCAAGCTGCCGAAGACGTGGACCAATTCAAAGCGGTCCAGACTCAGCCTGGGTGAGATTGAACCAGAAACGTCAAACAGGTCGCGCAAAGAGGATTAGTAGGAAAGTTGTTCCGTATGGCCAGGAGCCCCTATAGTAGCTTCTTCTTACTAGTAGCGATGCCACTAGTAGCATCCTTGCCCTTTTGTTCATGTTGCTGTTTTCCGCTTCGACCTAGCACTTTGTCTTTACAAAGGCATCGTCGGGGCGAGCAAGCAGTTCTTTGGGTCTTGCCTTGTTCAGAACGAAGCGGACTTTCCGCTTGCTGTTCTTGCACAAAGCTTCGAGGCAGCGCCGAAATTCGTCCCTGATGTCCAGCCTCAAGAGTTGCAATTAAAGACGCTGTGTCGCGACTAAAGTGACTAAAGGCATCTAAAGAATCTAGTTGACTTCACACGCCTCATTTTCCACGAGAGGAAAACAAATGCAGGGCCGCGCGTAGAATGCCATTTGCAAGGTCGGCGTGCTCCGCAAACCAGCCCATGACTCCTATCGCCAGCTAATGTTCTAACAGACCGTCTGCACCGCTCGTGATGCACAAATATGCACAGCTGGTGAGAACAAAGATGAATCATAGAAACAACATCCAGCAAATGCAAAAAGCCTGTGCATGCGTTATTAATATGAACATCTAGAGTCACGTCAAGCACGCGCGGCACTCATTCTATAGAACTTGGCTTGCAGCCTTAAGCTTATCCGGAACCGAGTCTATGGAACAAGCAACTCTGCTAGTTACTAGGTTGCCAAGTCGTCAAGCAATTGGAAACTGAAAGTTTCTCACTTTCAGGGGATGACCTTACAAAGGTATTCATCTTCTAGCCGGCTCACTGCCCTCACAAGGCCCACGCTCCTTCAAAGTCATAGCTTCGGCCCATGCGCTGCTTGTCTCCGCTAAGGACGCCAGGCGTGTCAACGAAGCTCAAGGACCCCAGGACCGGGACCTGCAGCAAAGCGATCTTGTTCTGAATCTTCGCTACGAAACTTCTACGATGCACAACACAACTCAAATTAGTTCGGTGAACAGAAATTGCGAGCACCCCAAAAAAGTTACAAGCTTTGAACTTGTGTAGCTGACACTAGGTAAAATCTTCTATATAACTTGGTGAGAAATGGTGAAGTGTGAGGAACATCGCACGCGCAGGCTTGAAGGATGGATTCTCCGCTTTTCCCCTCAAGGTCCTCGGTCAGTCCTCCCCGTCAGCCACTCAATCAGGCACCTCACCTCCCACAAGGCGTGGAGAAACTTAGCTAGCAGCCAAGTCACCCGGTCACCCCGAACAACTATGTGTCCCATCTTGAGAGGTTGGGCGTCCCATTCCTACAAGGCCCTGGGCCTCGCGAACGCCTTTATTCCAAGATCCCCACGGCGTGACAAATGCGCACAAGCAATGCTCCCTCAAAGCGCTCGAGGAAGCGAGAACCGAAGGTTTGGAGCTGGTCGAACGACTTCGCCGGGTTGCTGCAAAGAGCAAAACCTGCAGGGATGGACTGCAGTGGACTTCGCCATGGCCGGTCGTGGCAGCAGTTTGCTGACTGGAAGTGCTCAAGGAAGTCCAAACATTCTTAGTTTGAAGACATCAGCTATGAATCTATGCAAAGCTGCTACAGTATTAACACGCAAACTAATTGCACAGTAAGTATCATCAAATCAAGCGACGATTATATAGATTGATTCGACTCCCCCACCTGGAAGCTGCTGTCTAGAGGGCCCTGCCATGATCGCCACGAACTTGTCAGTGGTGGGCTCTGGCTCAAGCAGCTGCCAATGGACCATCCAGAATGTTTTCCACGACGCTCCTCTGTCTTTCTTTGGACTCATCTTCGGAGGTCTTTACCCGATCATGAGTATACACATCTTTGACCTCCGCATCGCTTACAGGGTCTTTGTGCACAGCCACTGGGACTCCAATACCAATGCCTGCAGAAGCTGCGAGATCAGTGCGCTCTTCCCCGGTGTCCGCGAGCAAACTGTCAGGCGAATGTTTCATACTGTTCTGTTCTTGCTCAAGGCCCAGAATTGTGAAAAGGATATGGTTATGATATGTTTTATGAAATCCAAGGTCCATTGCGTCCAAGTATCCCTGTCGAGTACTGGCCCAAGACTAGCACCATCGGCTTTGCAGTAAAGTAGGCCGCCGATAGCTCGGCGGTGTCATAGAAGCGCTGAAATTGCAAATGCTCTTCCAGCGGTTGTAGCTTGGCCTGCCCAGCGGTGAGGTACTGCTAGCAGCAATTGGGCAAACTGGGGATAACTGGGCCACGTCACTGTCCTATTGGCTATATGTATATAGATCAATCCCGACCGGCGTGCGCAGAAAACGTGGATCTGGCAAGGATTCTGCTTCAGGATGTGGGCGTCCTCTATCCCTTCACATAAACTTCACGCTTACACCAAGCGGTAGGTTTCACCTTTAGTGTCTCTCTTTCCCTCGTGCAGCCGAAGCCTGCCCGAAGACCCTCATTCTAGCCATCTGATGCCATTTCAAAGGCCTGGTAGACATTTTGCAAGGTCTGGAGCAGATCAGGGAGTACCTGCAAAGCAGGTAAGGGAGTGACATACCAAGATCTTCACATTGAAACAGCACTTGAGTTTCTCTTCATCAGTCAATCCAATTCGCCTGAGGCTCACCTGAATTGATCGGCGATGCTGGCAAGCCCAGCACGCGAGGATCTTCGCTTGCGCGACCTCGCCGGGCAATGTGTGTTAGAGAGTTGTATCGTCTGGCACTGTCACCGGCTCATTGAGAAAACATTTCGCGTCTGGTTGCCTCTGACCTGAGCTGGAGACTGATACGTACATACTCTACTATCCACTGTAATATGCTGCTGGAAGTTGGAGTTGTGCACCAATGAATGTCAAAGCCACAGAATACTATAACAAAACTTAACAAGAGAATAAAACACCCACAATACCCTGCAGAATGGGCTAAAACAAAAAGTCAGGCAGGAAGGGAGAAAACGTGCTCGACTTGCGCAAAGACTGATACCACATCCAAGCTAAATCTACATCACCACAATTCGTAGGTTTTTTGTGACCCTGAAATCCAGTGACGCTCTGCTTCGGCCACGCCAACCGTGGAAAAAATGATGGTAAAAAATCCTCCGCTAGTCCTCCAGCCTCCTAGCCGGCAGCGCTGGCACCAGCAGAGCTACTGGAGCAAAGCCGACCCCCGTCGTCTGCGAGCGCAGCAACCTGGCCCATGTGGCTGCTGAGAGTCTCGCCATAAGCTCCACCAACTGGGTTGCGCATTGATGAATGTCCGAAGGAGAAGTGGACTGAGCCTCTTTTTAGGGAATCATCACTGAATATCGCTGAATTGTATTATCCTCGTCCGTCGGGCTGGATCCCTTTTTCCTCTGCCTTCTGCAGGCTACATGTCTGGCACTGGGTGGCACCACAGCGGCGCGCGTGGGAGCTGAGGTCAGCTCCATCGCGAAAGGAGGCTGAAAATGCGATATATAACTTGTCAAGCTGGACATGGTCGAAATGAGCCCACGGTTCTGGACATGGCTGTGGGACTAGACGGCTTGATGGCCGGGTTTGTCTATTGAAGTTATTGATGTTTTCTCCAGGTAAGCCATCGCCGGCTATTCTTACGCCCTATCATGGCGCGGACGCATTCTTTTCTGCAAGCTTTAAGATGCTTGTCGCAGTGCTTTTTGCAACGTTGCTTTGTTCAACTGTCTGCTCGTGGCAACCGCGTGGATAGTTGTCCACTCCCTGTTCTCCATCTGCCGTGTGCCTGCTTAGCTTCAATTGTCATGGACACAAGCTGCAGGTCTTCATCTACCAATGTTGGAGTTGCGGCGGCTTGTTGACACTCCCACAATGAACTGCTAAATAGCATCTATTGCCATACTGCAGCGGCATCTACTGTGACCGTCACTATGATGTATTTCGAGTAGAACCCCCAGGCTGAAAATCTTGGGATCGGTTTACATCGCTTGCGGCATGGCATAACCTTGCAGCAACGCAAAACCAGCTTCTGCCCTCAGGCATGGGAAGGCTGTTGCTTTATAGAATGGATTTTAGATGGACCCCACCCCCAAGAAAGAAGTCCAATACCCGATAGCCAACAGGATTCTGCTCCGAAAAGGATATATAAAAACTATTGGCCTTACAGCCGTGGAGAAGGGGGCCGGATGGTTGGGGAAACTGTGACCTCAAAAACAGTGCATTACTGTTATATATATATAAATAGATACCCATAAACATCTATCTACTAATATAAATGTATATCAGCCTATCATGGCCCATCATCCCATCTCCTCTTCCATGAGCTTCATCCGCTTCTCCGCGGTCTCATTGCTCCGTCGGAGCTCAATGAGCTCCAGCTCCTGGCGGAGCAGCAAACCAGGCTCCGAAACGCTTGCGAAGCGCAACGGCAGAAGTTCCGCAAAGGTTGCGTCCAACGGTAGCTCTGCGATGCTCTGCACACATAAAGGCTCCTGCTGATGCAACTGCCGCGCAACACTGTCATGGGCCAAGTCCAGCTTCTGCATAGCCCTTTGAGAAGGAACCTGAGCCGGCCATTCTGGGCTTGACTAGACCTAACCGATGGCCAAGGTTTGCTGGCTGCGATTGTCTTGTGCAATGTGCGGTAACATAGCATGTGGCGCTTGGGTCACGTGGCGTCTGAGGCAACCAAAGGTAATGACTTCCCAGGGTGAAACGACTGCAAGATGTATCTTGGATTGTTTAGGAATTTTTTTTGTCTTAGTATAGATTAGTACAGTATAGATGCTTCAGGCACACCTTGCTCTCACCAAGCGCTGCCTGCGCTTCTTTCAAGCACTGTGAAACCCAGCATCTCCGGACTCGTCCACCGCTCGCCGCATGAGTTCCGTCAGCTCCTGGAACCGATGCGTGGCTCGGGAGGCTCCTCGTGGGTCTTCTGATCCTCGTCCTTGCTCCTAGTAGTAAGGCAAGGAGCTCCCAAATAATCCCCAAGCTGCTGAAGTGCAACGTTGCGGCGGATTGTGAGTGCACTTCACCAACAGGATTTATTGGGAAGTCCTTCTTCCACAAAATGTCCAAGCGTTGAAGTTCGATCATGAAGAAAATCGAGGAATATGAAGGCTGACATGCGATATCATGCAGTAAAACTAAGCATCAAAAGCCAAATAACTGGAGGAGCTTGCTGGTCTTGGACGGACTTGGTCTAGCTATCCCATGCATTGAACTGAAAAGCAGCAATGCCAATCCCTTGCCTACTACTACTAGGGTTCACCGGAATCGCCATCAAGATGCCCTGCTCCTGGGCCCTCAAAATCTCTGAAGATGGGCCAATGCCCAGCGAATCCTTTGAAAGCAAACTGCATCTGACTGCACAAGGGATGGCACACAAATAAGGAAAACATGGAAAACAATTATATAATGAGCCTGAAAGAGTTAGCAACACTTTTATATAAGTAAAGCTCCTTGCGAAGCTCCTTTGACTTCAATGGTGCAACTGACGCAGGCTGCAAGTTCATGGTGAACTCATTCAGTCCCGATGAAGTGCAGCACGATCTCCAGCAGCAAAGGTACCTTCGCCACAGTGTGTGAGACCGAAACCCACGGTCCATGGTGGCTTTTTTGGTGGTTGTCGCCTGGTCTGCTGTAAGAAATGGGTTTGAGGTGAAAGGAGTCCTCATGTTCAGACCGCTTACATGTCCTCTTTGCTCCACTCAGGCCCAGACTACTACGCCGGAAGGGCACCTGGCTGAACAAGTCCCGAAGTGTCAGTTTGGAATGAGAAGCAATCGGAGCGAGATCGCAGGATTTTCAGACAGAACAAGCAAAGCCACTGGAGCGCTCAGCAATCGAGGTGTTTCTGTCTGAATGATGCTGCTACAACCGCTTGGATTGCTTTGCTACCACTGCACCCTCCTCTTGCAGGCAAAAACAATGCTGATCCAGTTCCAGCCTGCGGTGATGTTGGAGGTGTCTCCTCAAAACACCGAAAGACCAAGACCCCAACCAAATGAGTGTTAGCACTGAAGAACAGCTCAATGTATATAATGTATGTATATATATAACTATATATGTGTGTAGGCAGGCACCAATAGATCTCCGGCTCAACTCCGATGCTCAACTCCGATGTCTGAGACTAGAGCTGACTGGTAACCCAGTTTCTCAGCCTGTCGGAGCTCACTCCTGGCATGGAGGGCTGGTGGGTCCAATGGACTGGCTTGTGGCACGTGCTGCTGTGACTGCCATGTGTCTGGCAAAGCAGATCCACTTGGAGCGATTCATGATTCATTGCAGGGTTTAGCGGGGACCTCCAAAAAGCCATGCTTCGCCTTTTTGGACTTCTTCAGCTTTCAATAGATGAATGAGCAGCTTTCTACAAATCTCGCAACAACGATCTTCGGACTTTGCTAGATGATCGCCTGGGACACCTCATCTCATATCGGGACTGTCTGAGGCCCAGTCTTGAGGCTGAATCTGGGGCTGTTGTCACCGTCGCCCTTGCTGAAGCCCTTCATAGATGCCACCTCACTCTTGGCCTGGGACCAAGCAGTCAGCCGGATTAGTGGCGACTGGAACTTCTGCTAGGGACTTCAAACCTGGTAATTATGCTCTATATGATAATCTAAGATGGTCAGGTGGAAGAGGTTCGAGGAAGTTGCACGGTTTTGGGGAAGGTTAAGGTTGCAAGGATTATCAAACCATATGAACTCAATTTGGCATCAGCTCATTCTATGACCGGTTTACAGCAACATCGTCGCCCGTTCTGCTCCGCCAGCCTCCTGCTCCTCATCGTCATCGTCATCATCGTCTTCTTCCTCCTCACGGACGACATCACGCCTCAAAGTTCACAACGCTCTGTCAAGCCTCAAGTGAGCTCCTCGATACAAAATCAGCTGGGGTAGCTCACTGAGGAGGAGGAGCAAATAATGGCTACTCCACTTGGGGGAGTTGCCCTGGCCCTTTGGAACCCGCAACTTCACTACCAGCTTTCTTCAGCCTATCAGCCACATTATCAGCCGAATCCGCCAATGGCTGAGGTGCCAACAACCAAACGCACACTGCCTAGAGGAGTGCGGAAGCTTTGGATTAGAAGATATTGAAAGCACACAATGCTCAACCTAGCTGCCCATGGTGTCAGTTGGAACACGTGCTGTGTGGCAAATGTGAGATTGTGTGCCTCCGGGAAATGAGTCTGAAGTCTAAGGCGCGTCTTTCTCCACGACGTCCAGTTCGGTCAATCAAACAGGCGCCATTTCGGATTGACCAGCTTAGACCCTATCACCTTAAGTCTTTCTGTCAACTGGAATTATGTGCGTGAACGGAGTTAAACTTTCATGATCTGTTTATTATAAGGATCAAATTCATCGTCTCCAAAAACCGGAATCCGCGAGCCAATCCACCTATGCCATATGCCCATCAACTGCGCACCTCTGCCACCTCCGACAAGGACAAGCCGAAACCTCCCTCGCACGGAACTGCCTGCAATTGGCCGACGGACTCCAGGGATAGAAGGAAATGCTAAATAAACAAGCTGAACACATTTCTTTATGTAGTTACACTTTGAAGTGACTACTTTGGTATGGGAACACGGCCATAGAATGCAAGTGTTCGTTTTACAGGCCCATTATTCCCGGCAGTGAGTGGAAAGATAACATTTGACTTGATGTATGGGCTGACTTCAGTCTTTCGACAAAATGAACTCAATGACCTGGACTGACCCACCCCATTCACTCCTGTCCTTGCACTGGAGGAGAACTTCTCTTTGATTCTGCTGCATGCCCGGTAGTTTTTTCAATGTTTTGGGACAATGTTCACATGTCTTCACATGCTTTCACACCACAAACCGACCTCTCCCTCCTCAATCGCCCGTGACCTGCATCACCTCTTCCCAGTAGCTGGGATCATCTGAGGCGTCACGAATCTCAGAGAGCAAAGCCTCCGCGGCGACCGCAGCGACCGCGGCCCAGCTGCAGCAGCCCGCCAGAGGCGACCGATTCCAGTGAGACAAGACCAGCACTAAAAAGGTTCACTTAAAATCAAATAAAAATAGAACTCTGTTCTGCCCTATTGGCTTGGAAGGCCATTATTGGTTAGATGGTGGCCTTGTCATTCTTCAGCCACCCATCGAAGCATCTGAAAGTCTCTCGATACATATAACTATATATCATTCATCAGTTTCTGTAGAGCCGTCCTGCCTTGAGCTGCACTGACGGGATCACATCCTTCCCACCCTGCCAAAGCTGTAAGACCTCATCACACCCAAAAAATATGCTTCCCATGTGAGGATGTCAAATAGAACCGGGCGACCTCTATCTGAGCTCTCCCTCGTGCACTCTCTCTCTCTCTCTCTTTCTCTCTCTTCCTCTGTTTGCCCTCTTCCTCCCTCTCTGCCTCTCTCTGTCTTTCTTTTGTGTAATTATTACGCCTGCTTCTGCGAAGCATCTCCAGAATATGTCTCCAAACCTCCAGCATCCACCCTCTGAGCACCCCAACCCCATCCCGGAAGCGCCGCATTCCTCGGATGGTATCCTCAGCTTCTTAGGTGAGACACGACTTCAGAAAATCAAATGATACTGTATGACTATATGATAGTGTTGTGTCTTTTTTTTGGGGGCGGTCGTGTTGCTAACAACCCTATCTTCTTGAGGCCGACGTGGAGTTGTGTCCAAAGTTCCGGCAGGCACATTGAGTCTATATATTCTATATAGATATCTGCATAGTTACATAGTGCAGCAGAATCCGAAAGGGCAAAGATTCAGCATTCCGCCTGATCTGTTGCAAGAATGCCTAATGCCTGTGGTCTGCAGAGACCCCCCCCAAAAAAAGCAAAAGCGAATCTGTTCCACAATTGACCTAAGTCCTATGGCCGTTCAAGTTGTCTGGGTGTCACAGCTCCAGGAGCTGTGGAACATGTCCACTGGGGCCTCCAACAGTTTCTCCCTGGACCGCAGCCTCTGTGAGCCGGCCAGGTCCTGCAAATGCGTTTTGAATCTCACTGGGTGTAGTAGCGTCCTTGCTCCTAGTAGCGATGCCAGGAGCCCCTAGTAGCTTCTTGTTCCTAGTAGCATCCGTGCTCCTAGAAGTGATGCCCTTTGGTCCTACTAGCGTCCTTGTTTACTATAGTAGTATGGCCAGGAGCCCGTAGTAGCGTCCTTGCTCCTAGCTGTTCATGTCTTCTTCCCCTTTGCCCTTTCTGCTATGGCTTTGAGTGTGCAAGTTGGTCAATCATGAAGATGCCAACAAGGACCAGACTGTTCCACAAAACACTCTAAAGCAAAGAGCGTGACTTGAAGAAGCCTCTCAGGACATGGTGATGCAGAAATGCAAACAAAGCCCGTCCTCCACTAATTTCCTGGGTCACTGCGTAAGCACTGACTTTGGACAGAATCATGGCTCCAGTGCTGGATCGTTTGTTCAAGGCAAGTGTTTCTCACCAAGCTTGCCGCTCGAAAAAAGCTATCCATACACCTTGGTCGATGCAAGGACATGGATGTCCCCCCTGCTCTGGCGTATGCTCTCCAGCAGCGGATAGCAGGATATAACAGGCCTCTGCATTCAGCAGGAAAAGTGCTTGGTTGGCAGGCTTCTGGCTTCAAAATCTCAAGCAAATTCTGGGGAGAGCTATGCGTTCGTCCAACCAAAGTCTTTGTGGCGCTTTGTGCTCCACAGCCTAGGGTCCTGGCTGCCAGTAGCTGAGGAAGTCTACTTGGCCATCCCCCATGCTCGTTTGGCCAGTCTCACTTCGGAGAGGCCTTGTCACAGCAAACTGCTTCAAAACATCGAAGGCCTGGTGTGCAAGATCACGGATGTTCAAGGTTGATAGATGTTCATAGTATTTCATACTTCATGGTTCCAGTCTTCCAGTCTTGGTGAGATGTTGTTCTGTGAATTCGAAGGATGACTTCCCCCACTCTGAGGCTTGCTCACGACGATCGACGAACGAAGCACAAATCAAACTGCGCCTGAGCACTTGATCGATGTCATGAGTTTCCCCCACCTGCCGGGCTGAAACATGTCGTCACGATCAAACGCACACTTCGACGTGTGCCCGAGGTGCTCGAAAGAACTAAATGTGAAGAATTTTATGTACTGTTATATACTGATATACAGTATTAATATTCGACGGCAATCTCGAAACTCGAAATGATCAATTCTAACCGCTAGCCGCACCAACCACTTTTGTTGCAAGATTGCCAAAGCCAAATCCCACATTGAGCAAAAGGACAAGCCCTGCCAAGGCACATGCTGTTTCAATACCTGCTTGAGCTTGTCAAGGGCCTAGGCTGGCAGGGCCCAGAACACGGGGCGAACTAACAGGCTCTTACCCGCAGCTGTGCAACACAAGGTGCTCTTGACAAAGACAAGAAGAAGGATCGTCGTATGTCTGCGGATGACGCCAAGTCATCTAGCAGTTCAATTCCTGTCTGCAGGCCACCTACTTTTGCCCTTTGGAAGCCCAAGACTGGCCGGAGCAAGTAGCCGCGTAGCCCTTTTCGCTGCTCCTGGGCTCCACGCAATGCTGGCCCCACTCTCAGCCTCATTCAAAATCAATTGATTGCTGACTTATCTCAGCACAAACCAGGGAGCCCCCCATAGGTTTCCAAAGGAGTAACTGAGTCATGAGTCTGAAATCTGAAACATGTCCTCAGGGACGAAATCAGACTTGCAAGGCTGTTGATCTTGGGGCGGATATCATGGGTCACAGATGGGCGTCGTGCGTCACCCCCAGCAACTCCAAAGCTATGAGCCACCCGGAAGAACAGTCCGTGGCTCGACTGCCGACCGCTTACCGCTGTTGGTCGAGAGCCGCTGATTGGTCATGCTGGTGCGGTCAAGTCACAGGCTCGCAAAGGTCGAAGAGTTGCAGGGCGGCAGCAATTGATTCAATGCCTCGATGTGTCGGGACTGCGAAGAATTACTGTCTTAGTCACTACAAATGGAATCAAATGAATGAACCCGGTGAGTTGGAAACCTCTTTGATCCTCTTTGGCTTCTTGGGATGGCAGCAGGAAGATTGTGAGTGCATCAGATTGCCCTCTCTGTGTTCCAAGGCCCTTGCCAGTGGCAATGGCGCCAAAACCCCCATCCCTGCCATCTCCTGCAGGAATGTTGGGTTGGTTAACCAGATTCACACAGTTTTTTTCGGTGCTCTTGCCACCCCGACCTGGAAGTCTCGCAGCCCAGTTGCGAGAGAAACACCACTCCAAGCTAAGCCCTACGAATACTAGTCACAACCACCTGGTGCTTATGCCACCAGTGCAACAGTCCTAACAACCCCCACGGGTCCTGGCACTTCGCCCATCTAATGGGCAACTGAAGAGTAGAACCTGCTACGGTCAGCTTTCTCTCGAACCACTAGCTTTCGGAGACTTGACGCTATATATGCAAATATATATTTAGTACAGAACTCAGCATAACTTCCATCACCTCTGGCAGTCTGCTGAGCACGGCGTGGAACTTGGTTGACCAACAAAGGGGCAGCTACACTTGCTACACTTGCACCACTTGCACCCCGCCTGTGGCCTTCCTCCACCCCTCGCGTGGAGCAGACCACAGGTTCCTGTCAGTGGCCATGTGTTCAACACAGCTGCTCTCAGTATCGAATTATGAATGCACTATTCTGTGCATGTAGCTGGTTATTTCACGCTGACCTCTTGTAGTTGATCCGAAAGATTCAGATGGACCTATGGAGGACCCTGCCATTTCTTTCGAGTCGAGCAGTCCGGCTCCGATTGGAGACGCCAAAAAAGACGCATGGAGAACAGGGAGGTCTCCCCTCCTGTTCTGCCGGCATTTCCAAATGTGAAAACTGCAGCCAAGTGAGTTGGATTCAAACCAAGCCCCAGTATCTTTGACACATGCCCTGCTCTACTGGACAGACGAGCTCACTGGCTGAATAGAGGCTATCGCACTGGAAATGCAGTAAGAAGCGCTCCGCAGGGCGATTCCTGATGGCCCAACTTTGGAAAAAAGGTACCACTTTGGTACCTGATGGTCCCTGCATCAACATGCATCCCCATTGCCAAAAGTTCAGCACTTGTCATGGCAATTAAAAATAAGCCATCCAAGGCCCAAGTCCTGTCCTGTATAAGGGCTTTCAGGGGGGTCTCAATAACCTCTATAGAGGTAGAAAATTATAGAAGCACCTGCCTCCCCACCCCACAAGTTAAGAAAACTACCTCCAAAGATGAGCCGAACTCAGCAGCACAACCCTTTGGCGGCTGAGCCGTCGACGCCCACCGATACTGGTGGCCCTGTGTCCGATCCGAAAGGAGCCATGGCCACAGAGGCGGCCTGGTGCTATTGGGTGAGGTGTTGGTGGCCCCATCAGGCCAGGCACAGGGTGGTCAAATCGGCTGCCCTGCTCACGGCTGCTTTAAGCAGCGGCTATCGGGTCTCCGCTAATTGGCCGGCAAATAAAGCAAATGAGAAAAGATTGAAGGTTTAGCCTGGATAGCCGGGATCGGTGGCATTCTGCTTTTGTATGCTACCAGTAATCGTGATTCCCATTTGGAGATCAGATCTGCGAGCATGAGGTGTATGTCCTATTATTTTAACTAAACTATACAAATTCATACAAGTCGAGCATCCGGGCAAACCTCCGTTTAAGAGCGTCACTGCTCAGATTGAAACCATTGTTCAAACCACCGCAGGGATCGCCTCAGATCCGCAAACGCTGCTCTGAGATCTTTGCACTGGGACATGTTGAACTCTGGACAATGGCTTGAGTCATTCATGTCCGGACCTGTCTTCAAACTACACCTCGCCTCTCCTGCAAACCAAGGCGCTGGGAAAACTCTATGCTCTACCTCGGCATCAAAAGATGCTAATCTCTGTCCAATGTCGGTGCATGTCTCTACCATACAATCTCCGTCAGTCTTCTTGCCTGTTCGTTCGTCCAGCGAACTTAACTTCCTGCTTCGCATTCTGGCGCACGACTGCAGGCAATCTTCGTAAACTGTGCCCCTGTCGCAGTTAGCTAGGTGATCGACTTGGATGACTTGGAATCTTGAATCCTGTTCACCCCTGGCCCATGTGGGTATATGATGGCCAAGTCATCACGACGCGTGCTTTCAGCAAAGTGGCTGACTCGGCCTCTCTCACAGCTGAAGCTTCTGCTAACACTGCTTCGCATGGGAACTTGCCACTGGCTGCCTGACAGAAGATGTGTGTCTATGATAAACAGACCTGCGAGGTAAGGCAAAAGAGACAACTTCTCGAGATCCATCGAGATCCAGCCTCTCCAGAAAGCATGACCGCATCGGTGCCATCCCACACAGCATTGCCTTGCATTCACATCACAGCCCATTATGCAATCGAATAGATTCCACCTAGCAAACAGCTAAATGAAAGTACAAAACCCCTGGTAAAGTTTGGCCTGGAGCCACATCTGTGACATTGTGCAAAGCTGGTGGGCAATGAAGAATTCGCAATATGTACACATAATGCCTTCCCCACTAGTGGCATCATGAATTTTGTTGAATCATGTTCCATCACCACATCGTCAATATCCTAGCTAGCAGTCCTAGTTACACTACAATCAATATATATATATATATAGCTCTCTCTCTATCTATATATATATATATATTTGTTTTTTTTAATATTACTATATATTTTGTTTTAAAAAAATCTCATTTGCCCCTATCTCTATCCCTCTCTACCAGCCTTTGAATCACCCTTCAACCAACGAAAAGGTGTCAAGACTTGTCAAGGCGCAAAGGTCCGAGACTTCGGCCCTAGTCGGCACGGGCGCTTCGATCATGCTCTCCACCTCGGGAGACAAATGGAGTCTGCATCGTCAGAGAGTCCATATTATGATAATAGATTTTAAAAAATAATAAGTGAAGTAGCGTCCTTGCTCCTAGTAGCGATGCCAGGAGCCCCTAGTGGCGTTCTTGCTCCTAGCAGCGATGCCAGGAGCTCCTAGTAGCTTCTTGTTGCTAGTTAGAAAACGGCATAGCCATTTTTAGACACGTCTCCCAGCCATCTTTTGATTGTGACTTGAAAGGGGCTTAGCGAGTTCTCCGGTTGCAAAATGGTTTTAAACAAAATAAGTTTGGCATGGTTTGGCCTATTGGTCTTCTTGGGCCATGTTTGGTCAGGTAAGGAGAGGAGATGGCACCAGGGCTTCAAAGGAACGGAAGATACGTAGCGTGAGAACCGAAGAATGATTTGCCGGGAGCAAACAATACCAATGACTAGTTTGCCTTGTTTGCACTCATGTGTTCTTTCATGTTCTTTCCTTTTCATGCGAATCTTTACTTAATTCTCGATGCTTTTTGATGCCCTTGGTGGTCATGACATGTTCCATCATGTTCCTCCTTGCCCGAGAGGCCATCTGCGTGGCGGTGATCACGAAGAGACCGGCCTGTTTGGCCTGTCCAGCACCATCTCCCCGTTTGTCTTCGCAAGCAGATCGGGAAATGGTGGGAATGTGCCGCACAAATCGCAAAGATTTGGGATACTCCTCCAAAGCTGATAGAACTACAAGCTGCCAAGCTGCTAGTGTTACAAAGAAATCCTCAACTCAACCACCTCAGGCAGTTTGGATGCTTGTTGTTTCCAGTGGTCTCGGCCTGCCGTGGGGTCCGAGCCTTGCGGATCAGCAACTTCTGCGCAAAGGGGACACGGCAAAGGCCAAGCTCCACACCTGAGTGTCCAACGTCAGATGCCCAAACTCACACAGATTCATACAGATTCCAAATTCGATATCAGAATCAAACAAGGCGATTCATATACGTATTCTGTATTTCAAAAAGGCCGATTCATACTTCACCCATCTTGCTATTTTATGCTATTTTGTCATTTCGATTTGCAGCCCCTGAGTTTTTGTTGTCTTGGTGGGTGTGCTAATTAGCATTGCGAGCAGCTTCTTCTGTTTATCCAATCTCTGAAGTTAGCTGCTGGCTTGCGATTCTTCAATGTCCAGCTACCACTATTAAAAACAAAAGAGTCCTAGAGCATTGTTCAATTCTCCCATGAAGGCGAGCCTAAATCACCACGAGCAACCATCAAAGCTTCCGATTTTTCAATGATGCCGTCCTCAGCCAACCACAGGAGCATTAAAAAGCTACGAGGAGCAAAGGGCATCGCTACTAGGAGCAAGGACGCTACTAGGGGCTCCTGGCCTTACTACTAGGAGCAAGGACACTACTAGGGGCTCCTGGCCTTACTACTAGGAGCAAGGACGCTACTTCACTCAAAACCATTTGGGCCAAAAACGCCAACACCCAAAGTGGGCCGCCGACTTCAACGGCAAATTTCTCGTTCTGTGGGTGTGTTCGAGATTTCTTTTGCGCTCTTCATAAGAAATGAGTACTCAGCCACGGCTCGATATTGGTCAGAGCCTGAGGCTTCTCGATCTTTGGGCAAATCTTGGGTCGTTTCCTTGGCAGGATGTGAGATGTGAAATTGGGAACTCAAAAAACACACTCCACCAGATTCCAAAAGGTAGGTACAAGTCCTGCATGCATCTGCTTCAGACATTCTGATCAAAAGCTTGGTTGGTTCATGTTGGTTCTGTGCTTTTTTTGCAACAAAAAACGCCATGACCAAGGCACTCTGCTGGGATCTTTAGTCGGTCCATGATGTCGATGAGCTCCTGCAGCGCAACACAGAATTGGAAGCATGGTGCATGTCGCAAGCGCAAGCAACCTAAAAGCAGTGAAGCAGTCAAATCATCTGCCCCATTCCCAGAAACAGGTGGTCAGCATGATCATGACACCTATACAAGCCTCATATCGTACCTCTATGTATATTAAATAATATATTGTAATATATTATACGTAACAGTAGACAACTCATTGAACCAGGCGTGCAACTACACAATATAGGTCTACTAAGTTTGTACACGAGCCGATCCCAACATATTCCTACAACATCCTGCACCTGCGCAGCCCAGCCCATTCCAAACTTCCCGAAATGCTACTGTAGCCTGTGTGCAGTAACACAACTTTGTGCCAATGAGCTCCAGTCCTGCAAATCCTGTGCCTTCTGCGCAAAGGAAACGCAAATGTACCTATGAACGATGCTTTCATTATCTTTCATTCAATTCAATCTTCCAAAGCACAACGCAGGTATGTCGGACTCATCTGATTCCGGTATATTTTTAAGCATTCCCTACAGAAAGTGGCTTAGGGCCAGGCTCGATCGGAGGGTCCAACTGCAGAAGGAACTCAGCATCCTGTGATCCGGATCGTCGCTTCTGTGTTTCTTATTGCTTCTGGGCCTTTCAGCTGGGGGACCACCCCATCTGAAACCGGCTGAAGAGCCCAATGACCTTTGCAACAAAAACATGCCAGCTTGCGAAGCGTCCTCGATGTCTTTCACTGTGAGTGCTGCGCAATCAATTTCCTCAAGTCTCAGTGAAATTGGACGTCCGGAACACCATGATTAATTGAAATAACCCATGTACCATCACGGATTTACAATAACTGGCTGGTGCTTGTCACTGTTCGATCTGCAGTTGCCGAGGGCCTGAAGGCCGTGGAAAGAACCTGCTTTAGGACGAGCCACGATGTCAGGCACGTTGACACCCTTTCTGGCCTTCAACTTTCCGCCGCGGGTGATCTGCACCTGAGAAGCACAAACACGGTGAAGCAGAAGGGGCTCCAGAAAATCCCAGGAGCACGTTGACTTCATAAGTTGTCCCCGGCCTTGAGCTCAGTATCGCTCAGCTTCTCGGTGACAATGACCTGCCGTGAGCGCTCGGTCGAGACCGAGCGAGCGAGTGCAGCCAAGCGAATCGAAGCGCCTCCATGATGCCATCTTCAATGAGCAGGGTCGTTCCGACCTGCCGGGCTGGATGCGTGATTCAGTATAGTCGTCGATGGAACACATACAACCTATGTGTATGATTATGTATGTACCAGCATTCCTCAGTGTGTCATTTATCATGACACTCTTTTCAACACCACATCCGCAGGTCAAAGCTTCTTTTGAAACCTTTGGGATCTGGGGATGATCTCACCGCACCCCACGGAAGCTCATGCATCCGTGTGAGATGCAATTTCACTAGGGCTCAAGTCAACAAATAACATAAAACCATATAAAACCATTTCTCCTCTCCGACTCTTACACCTCAACTTTATGTCTGGGTCAGGAGAGTTTCATTCTTCTTCGCCTTGCATCCCTTCACCAGCGCGTTCTGCTCTGTCGTTGGCCTGCAACGTCGAACTGCCGCATTTGCACGAGGTTCTTCCAAAGAGCCAGTGACGGAAAAAAGTACTCAAGCATAAATCTCAAACTATAGTTAATTAATATTAATCAGGGATGAACTTGGCACTTGACACAGCTACATACTAACTATATTCGGTTGATCATGAAAAAATGTGAAGACTCAGTTTTGAAGAGTCAGACCGCCCGAACTCTGTCGAAAACTCAGCAAAGCATAGCAAAGCGACTTCATGGTGATGCGCCCAGGTCGAATGTTGTCGTTGTCATCCACGCTAATGCCGAACCTGGCAAGTGCCAGGTCTCGGTCTCTCAGGACGTCTGGCACGCCTGTGTCAAAGGGGAAAGGTATGGAAAGGTGGGGTTACGGGGGCTGCAAAAGAATGCAGCAAATACTGAAGATCCATGCTGGGAACTGGCGTTGCTTCCTTCATTGAAATCACCGCCCCCAAGTTGGATAAAAATGCAACATGGATATACAAACACATCCAACCAGCCAGGGACACTCGACGATCTCACCATTCTTGAGCTCCACTGGATCTCCGGCCAGCTCGCCAACACGGAACTTTGGCCCTTGCAGGTCTCCCAAGCACTCCACCTGGTGAAGGGAAACGGTGGGAACACCATTCGCAAGCGTCTTGTGGGGCCCCAATGTCCACCCCATACCCACTCACCATTGAATCCTTGTTGGGCCCAAGTCTGCGAGTGCCGGTCGTAGGCTGGCCTTCTTGCCCATCTGCTGAGCGGTCTTGCGGATCAGCGGATACACACGCTCAAAGTCACCACCACGGCGATGGGAGCAGTTCAGGCGGAAGATGTCGGTGCCTGCTTCGATCATCTTGGGGATCATCTCCTGAAACAACTCATAAGACCTTAAACCATTCCTTCGCTTGACCATGGGCATAAGCTTGGCAAGTGTCTTGTGAACCCCTCTAGGCTTGCGATGGCTTGTGTGCCTTGGGCATTGACCTACCAAACGAATTGAGTAAGTACAGCATTGGCCCAAAATATGCAAAACATTGTTAACAAACACGAACGACAAATAGAACAGAATGGACAACACGGCATATATATATATAGATAGTGTCTGTAGAGATAAACATATATAGACAGATAGATAGATAGATTGATTGATTGATTGATTGCTTGATTGAGTTATAGATAGACTTCCTTGTTAATTGGGGTTGCATGCCACCACGCCTGTTCCTTGGATAGCTAGCCCTTCCTGTACTGTATAGTTGCTGATTCCAATTTTTAGATCTGCTGCAGGCTACCCTCTTCTCTCTCCTCACTCCATGACGCTGGGCCCAAGCTTGCCACCACCTGCCAGAAGGGGGGGATATTTGGATCGTAGTTTTTTGTGATTGGAGTATGTTAACACAGGCACATATTCTGCATCCAATTATCCAGTCTCTTAGCCCAAAAGCGAAACCAACCGACCAAACTGCAAAACTCAAACCTCAAACTGACACTCACTCAAACCGACCCAACCGACACTACACCCACTCAAAACTTGCAAAACCAACCGACCTGGCCTTGGTGCGGCGCTTGGCGTCGTCCATCTCTCGAGGTTTGTTGCCCTCGTCGCAGAAGTAGTCCACGCCCAGGCGCGGCTGCAGGAGATCTTTGACCTCACCAGTACCACCACCACCATCATCATCACCACCCCAATTCCTCCGCCCAACGCTCTATCATGTCCAGTCCCATCCAGTCCCCCTCACTCCATTTCAGTCTCAATTGTCTCTTTTGGTGTTTTCCACCCTACACAGCCAAGGCACACTCTCAGCCTCCAAGGCGGCTTCGGCCTCGGCCATCACCGCCTCGCACGGGAACTTGCCACTGGCAGCCTCGCAGCATCGTCAAGTCTGGGGCGGACTGGTCACTGGTCTTTCTGGTTCTCGGAGGGGAGACACGGATGGCCTCCAGGTCGAAGCGTGGGGCACATTATGGGTCTCTAGGACTAGGCATCAATTAGCTGTGGTCGGGGAATAAATCAAAATGAAATCAAGCTGATTCATAGCGATACCCGAATATTCTCTGCCTCACCACTCAGCATGACAGCATCTGCACCATCCCAGATCGCATTTTGGAGGTCACTCACTTCTGCCCGTGTGGGCACCGGGCTCTCGATCCTCGCACAAGGCTCAGGAGAAGGATTTTGCGACCAATCATGGGAGCTCTGAGTTCTGAGGCCAATCGTCTTGAAGGCACGAAAGGCACAAGGAATCACAAGGATATCTTCACGGCTTTGACTTGTTGACACTTTTTCACATTTCAACATAGGTTGCAATATGTTGGAGCCATTATTATTGTGACCTGCCACCGGAGATTTTCCAAGAGCCAATGGCACTTGTGGCCCAGCGGGGGGGTGGCGAAAGCTAGGCAAATAACAACGCTGGGGCTCTTTAGGCAGCAAAAGCCAGGCCGGGCCTCGCAACATGCCATGGCCAAGGGAAAAGGAGAGTGCCAACAGCGCCCCCCCAATACGACCCCAACACAGCCAACACATGGCAACACGCAACCACCCCAGCAACCGCCGCAGCAGCAGCAGCAGCAGCAACAGCCACAACAACAATAACTGTAACCAGCAGCGGCAGCGGCAGCAAGCAGAAGCTACCAAGCAGCAGCAGCAGCAGCAGCAGCTACCAAGCAGCAGCAGCATCAGCAGCAGCTACCAAGCAGCAGCAGCAGCATCAGCAGGAGCCACCAAGCAGCAGCAGCATCAGCAGCAGCTACCAAGCAGCAGCAGCAGCAGCCAAAGCAGCCAAAGCAGCCGCCAAGCAGCCGCCAAGCAGCAGCCAAGCAGCCGCAGCAGCAGCAGCCAAGCAGCAACAGCAGCAGCAGCCAAGCAGCAGCAGCCAAGCAGCAGCAGCAGCAGTCAAGCAGCAGCAGCAAAGCAGCAGCAGCAAAGCAGCAGCAGCAAAGCAGCAGCAGCAAAGGCAGCAGCAGCAGCAGCAAAGGCAGCAGCAGTGTTGCGTTGCAACAAGTGCAGCAACCCTGAACCGCATGAATGGCATCAACCGTACCATGACACGAGTTGGGGCAGCGTGACAATAATATAGTTAATTAATAGTTAATATAGGAATTTATAGGATGCACAAAGGGAAAACTCAACTACTGCCATGCTTCCACCAAACATCACCAAACTCTTCATCACCCGCTTCCCCCACCGAACTCTTCGCTCATGCCCCAACACGTCAGCAGCAACCAGCAAGCAGCCAAAGGCAATCAGCAGCACCAAGCATGCAAGCAGCAAGAGACCAAGCAGCAGCAGGTACTGAGGAGAAGGGTGGAGTTGAACCCGCCGGGGGGGGGGTTAAAGCCTGATAAATCAGGTATCTGCACTCAGGTCCTCGGCTCCCATCCTCCTTGCTAAAGCAAGACAGACTCCAGCTAGCTACAGCTAGCTTTCGTGACATGCCACGCTATGGTGCATACTCATGTGATTCTTGCAGCTTGGGGGCATGCTCTCCACCATCTGGGTGGCATTGATGACAAACAGGCCTGCATCCTGGCAAGTCAAACAAAAAACACAAATCAAAAACCTGTAATGGTAGAATAATGGAAATGGATGGAAATGGTTAAGTAGTCAGATGTAGTGTTTATATAATATATATATATATATGTGTGTGTGTAGTATTCCTACTACTATTTCCCAATCACATCGCAGCAACTTCTCCCACACTCGCGTCCAACAATGCGACCATCCGGCCTTGGCCTTTCGGATCAGCAACTTTTGCGCGAAGGGCACCCGTTCGAGTTCCAGCTCGACGCCCAAATCCCCACGTGCCACCATGAGCGCCTCGGACTTGGCAATGATGCCATCGATGTTGGTCAGTGCCTTGCGAAGGACTTGGTGGGCCCCATAGTGAGGCCAGGAAATGACTTGGTGGGGTCAATTTGACAAGTTCATCTGAGGAATTGCAACAAGCTATAGAATGGCAACAGCAATGGGCTGTTCAAGAGCATTAAGTGTGGATATTGAACACAAGGTCCCCGCACCAGGAAACAAATACCATAGGCCAACTGATGCGCCTGCGGCTTCTCGATCTTTGGGCAAATCTTGGGCCGTCGCTCCTGGCTGAAAGTAAAGGCATTGCTTCGTAGGTTTATTAAGGCATTGCGGCATTGATTAAAGCCGAGACCAGACCTTCGAAGGTGGCTTTTGTAAGCCGAGACCGGTTTTAATACACCCTTTTCCATTTTCCAATGCCCTGTACAATGCTTCCAAGCTGGGCCCTTTCAATCTCACTTTAGTCCCCTTGTGTCCTGCGGAATCTTGAGGCGATCCATGATGTCGATGAGTTCCTGCAAGTCCTGCCCCTTCTGCACGAAAGACACGCAAATGTACTCGATGGGTGGATCCAACTGCAGCAAAAACTCAGCGTCTTCGATATCTTTGGCCGTCAAGGCAGCGCAGTCGATCTCCACGTCTGGCACATTGACACCCTTTCGAGCCTTCAGCTTGCCACCACGGACCACCTTCACCTTCAATTCCGTGTTGCTGAGCTTCTCAACGACGTTCACCTCAAACATGGCAAAACACCCAGGTCTGTTGCAACAGGCCTGGCCTATGTGTGAACAGCCGTGAATAGCACGCCATAAATGACCAAACGTCACATCTGCCATCCGCTAGCTAGTCTACGAACATGTTGAGCATGTTAAAGTTAAGCTGGTCTTGCAATTGTTCCCCTCCAAAATGATGTGTTTGTTCAACCACACGCGAACCTTCATGATGCCATCCTCCAAGAGCAGGTCAATGCCCACCTTTGCAGCTGCAATCAAGGCATTCTGCTCCAAAGTGGGTTTCATGGTGATTCGCCCTGGGCGGATGTTGTCGTTGTCGTCCTTGGAGATGCCGAACTCCAAGATCTCGCCGTTCACCAACTCGATGGGATCGCCCGCAAGCTCACCCACGCGGAACTTGGGCCCCTGCAAGTCTCCAAGGCACTCCACCTGCCGGAGCTTGCGTTTGAAATGCTAGGCTTCGAAGGATGATTGCATGAGAAAAATGCAGCAACAGAACGTCTTCTTATACATCTATATAATTGCCCTCAACTGAAGCGAACATAACAAGCTTGATGTGAAAGCTCGTCGAACTGACCCATCACAACCCTTATCCCATGACATAGTGACACACTACACATACAAACGAATAATAGATATGACATAATACGAGATAGTGCGATAGTATGATAATCATTGTTCATTGTTCTGATATGTTGTATGGCCTATATGCTATCACATCACATAATTTCCGGGACATCCGCTCAAAAGCTTCAGTGCAGCCCAGCACCGCCTTTCTGCCAAGATCTTGTGCCGCCTTTCTGATCAGCGGATAGACGCGTTCAAAGTCGCCACCCCGACGGTGGGAGCAGTTCAAGCGGAAGATGTCCGTGCCCGCTGCGACCATCTTGGGGATCATCTCCTCAACTGAAACGAAGGTGGGTGATTCACAGAATGACGGTTTGCCGCTGTTTGCCTGTTTTATCTACTTATACTCAAGACTGGGTATACTCTTTGTGGACCAAAAGGGCGCTCAATTAGTGCAAAGGGGGATGTTTGGTGACCGACTTGGCTTTCACCAAGGGCTCATCACCCCAGCTGAAACTTGAAGTTCTCTGGAGGTCCGATAAGTATGCTGAAATGCACGATTGGAGAACCCCCCATGTCTGGAATTGGGGACTTCGCACGCGCGTCCACACACAAGCGAGCAAACCCAAACCCTCCAAACAAGTGCAGCCCTCGGAAGAGTAGACGAACAAGATTACTAGGGGCTCCCAGCTTTACTACTAGGAGCAAGGACGCTACTAGGGGCTCCTAGCCTTACTGCTAGGAACAAGAAGCCACGTTCGGAACCGATCGAAAACATCAAAGCGCTCCTCACTCCACGAGGCTGGGCCTAAGCTGGCCACGACTTTCGTCTTCCTCAGAGCATCATTGGTCTCCTGGTGTGGCTCGATCTACTGGCGGGCAAAAAGCAAAAAGCACTAGCCACAAGGCGACATCCAGCAAGTGAAGCAGGTGAAGCAGAAGTAAAACCCTTTCAAGCTCAGCCAGTCCAAGGCATTTCCCACCCTATACCCTACCACTTGTCCTTGACTTGTCTTGAACGAGCATCCCTGACCTCCCATCATGCTGTGGAGGTGTCCTGCTTCTTGTTGCCCATGTTCACGTGCAGCATTGGTGGCACGACATCACCTGTAGGTCGGCAGTTGATGGCAGTTGTATGTCGCAAAGCATTGTCAACCCCCTACATCCCTCTACAGCATGCCGCAGAACAGCAAAATGAAACGAGTCCGTCCTCTCAGCCAACACTCTCAACCCTCATGTCATGAAGCATTCAACAAAGAGGACTTGTGGGAAACGGTGCAGTGATCCTCCCAAACCGCAAACTGATTCTCCACCATCACCACTGGGCATCTCAAGGGTTTGGTCTCTGGCATCACGCGTCAAACTTCTTTGCTCCTCTTGACCTTGAAAGCTCCGCCTCAAAATTAACAACAAGTTACATCTAAAAACCAGTCAGCCCTTTCCGGAACAACAGCGTCACCGGGCACTTGCGCCCGCCATGGCTCAAAACTGAGGTGTCATTCAAGAATCCACTAGTAGAAGCAAAGCTAATTGATAAGAATAAAACCATGGAACATTGGACCCTCAGCCCCCTGGGTCTTATTGTCCAAGCCACCTCCATGCCACCAACGACCGATGTCCCCGCCTGACTCTACTGGGGGGCAGGCACGCCTCAGGCGGTGCTTCACCGACTCCGCTTCCCGTGCAGCTGAAGCCTCAGCCATGACCTCAGTGCAATGACCGGTCGAAAAGGTGAGCCGTCCGTGCGTCCAGAGGATCCAGGATGTAACGATGTAAGTGTATGGAGATATATGGAGTAGCAAACCTAAGCCAACCCCGTCACGCATCTGGCATGCCAAGGCACAGCCTCTAAGGGGAAGTTGCCACTGGCGGCCTCTCCAGAAAGCATCACAGCCTAAGATACCACAATTCTGAAGAGAAAATCCTAATGAAAGGGATGCTCCTCTGCCAAAGGAAAGCGCGACACGTGAGCCAGATCGGTTTATGCATTGTTTCCCTAGACTAACTAGAGACAGTAGTAGGACTCACTGGCTTGGTCAAAGACATGCTGCGATACCGAGTTTGCTTGTCCTGACAACACATGGAACAAAATTCCTGAACCATGTAATTCAGTAGAGCTCGGTGGGCCTTCCGGCATTACAATCCCAGTCGTTTGCAAATGTGTGCCGATTAAGACAGGGCACATCTGCACCATCCCAAACGGCATTGCACACATCGCTCACTTCAGCACGTGTGGGCACTGGGTTGTTGATCATGCTCTCCACCACTTGAGTGGCATTGATCACCTAAAGAGAAGCCACGCATTCGGATTCTGGGGTTCCTACTGGTTAAATAGTTAACAGTTAACTTCTACTTGATTCCTGGCCACGCGTCTATCTCAAATGCATAGCCTGAAAGACTCCCTCTCTCTCTCTCAGCAGAGTCTGGCTACCATGCATTCCATCACCAAGGCACGAAAAGCCCTGCTTGCTTGGCGCGTGCGATCAGCAACTTCTGAGCGAAGGGCACACGGTTCAGGCCCAACTCCACGCCGAGATCACCACGGGCCACCATGAGCGCCTGGGACTTCGCGATGATACCGTCGATATTGGTCAGCGCCTGGGACTTCGGAAGAGGTGGGTGCTTTGCTTTGCGAACCTTTAAAGGCACCTCAGTGCCGGAGAACTCTACGCGGATTGTTAAACTCTTGGTCATTTAAGTTCGTCAAATTTGGTTGCTCTCAAGTCTGAATCGTCTTAATATTATATGCATAATTGCTGCTCGTCCTATCAGCTTTCAGCTTTCCGAAAGCCATCTCTCACGGCCGCATCTTCGCCTGTGGCTTCTCGATCTTGGCGCAGATCTTTGGTCGTCGTTCAGCTGGGATCTTGAGGCGATCCTAAGCTCTAAGGCGTCACAGTATGCTTCTGTTTTTTGTGGGGGGGCCGCTCCTACTTAATTAAGTAGGCGCCTTACTTAATTAGGTCAGGAGAAGTTCGCTCCTAGCTAGGACTCGGGATAGCTCACGCTTCTTCAAGGAAGCTGCCCCAGCCTGAGGTCGGGGGGGAGCTTGCTTGAAGAAGCACTTGCACTAATGATTTGGCTCTTAGATTTTGAGGGAACTAAACTTCACAAAGCATTCTTGTTGCTGGGGAGTTCTGGGAGTGGGCTGCACGAAAAAGGCAAAAAAGCTTGAAGCAAGAGTGTGGCTACAAACCGTTACAAGCCTCCTATTGTTGTTTGCAAGGATTGACGACTTAGTGGGTTCGAGGTCTGCCGTGGCCTGTCGAGGAATGGACCTGCCTGTGTTGAAACCTGCTGATGGCTAAGTAGGGATGTCCTCGCAACCTACATGTTATAATAGTGAATATATTACTAGACGTGGCTATTAAAGGGGCCCCTGGAACTGATTGGGCTCCAACTTGGCTTGCGCCCAGGCGCCATGATGTCAATGAGCTCCTGCAAGTCCTGGCCCTTCTGCACAAAAGACACGCAAATGTACTCGATGGGTGGATCCAGCTGCAGCAAAAACTCAGCATCCTCAATATCCTGCACTCCAGTTCCAGCATGTTCCAGTGCGTTTTTTGTTTTCAATTGTTTCTAACCATTGTCCGTCTCAAAAAACATCCCTCCTTGGAGGTCAAAGCTGCGCAATTGATCTCCAGATCCGGGACGTTGACACCCTTGCGAGCCTTGCGATCGCTGGAAGAGTTCGACCATAACACCAGCACTCTGGAAGAGCGTGAGGAATGGTAATGAGAAAAGGAGGCGCCGGGCAAGCATGTCTTTAATCTTTAATTGTATACATCTTTCTTTGCAGGCCAAAGCAGTGAAGTTCGTTAGACACCCACCAAACACGAAAAGGCAAACATAGAGTGGATGATAACGGAGCTGTAAAAGTAACGTCGTAGGTTCGAGTTCCGGCCTTCAGCTTGCCTCCGCGGATCACTTCAACCTTCAGCTCGGTGTTGGAGATTTTCCTCGATTGCGCGGTGTTGGCGTTTTCGACCCGTTGCCCCCGAACTTGGCATTCTTTCCACTCGACATCCTTTCAAAACATCTCATCTTGTATCATCGTTGTACATCCAGAACTCCAACAAACAACTGTGGAGCTGTCCGCTCTGGCACTGAGGAATCTATAGGCATGAACGTCAACTCTTGTTTCCAAGCGGGCCAATCTTTGCCGGATAAAGGGGCAGCCATTTTGTCGATGGTTGGTTCTCACGGCCTTTCTTTTTTGGGGGGTTTGGGGGGTAGTCTGGACAGCCATTGAAGTCTTCGCTGATGCTGGAATAAAACCAATCTTAAAGGGCGGTCTTCTTTTTCCAGGGGATAGCTGAAAATACGTGGACAAAACAACATAATATATAGCTTATTGAGATAGACTTACTAATCAAAAAAAACTTCTTCCATTCCAAGTGTCTCAGTGACCTTCACTTCCATCAATCCATCCTCGATGAGTAGCACGGTGCCCACCTTGCAGGCCTCGACCAAGGCGTTCCTGAAGCGGCGCGCAAGAAGCAGCAGCAGCGTCAGAAGAACGGATCCAAAATCATCAAAACATCTAAACACCAAATTCACCGGAATCCATGTGGGATGCCAACAACCGTGGCCTGGATCCAAAGCAACGAGTAACCCGTGGGATCACGATGATTCGACTGACGTTAAAATCGCAAAAAATCTGTGAATATCTATGGACATCATCTGGTTCAGCAGCTCAGCAAGTGGACATCTCCGATATTGCGGCATGGTTTGTTGGGAGTCCTACTGTTGCTCCATCTGCGACATTCTGAAAACGTCTTCCAAAACTTGATCAACTTTAAGCCAAGTTCTGTTCAGTAGTTGGTTTCATGGTGATGCGTCCAGGCTTGATCGTGTCATTGTCATCCTTGCAAATTCCTTGGATTGCCATGTTTTTGTCATCTGAGTCATCTTTTGTCCTCATCATATCTTGACATGCTCCGCATTCCACAGGGAAAGCACAGAAGACATCTTGATGCAGACTGTGTCTTCCTGCCACCTAGCCACCAAACTCAAGGATCTCTCCGTTGGTCAAGGGAATCGGATCTGCAGCCAGCCTGAGTATGCTTGGTTGCCCAAAGCAACCCAGTTCATCTAACGCAAACATGTAATTACATGAACGGTTCGATGATCTGTAGAAACCAAACCATGCAGCCCAGCAGCTCTCCCACGCGGAACTTGGGGCCCTGCAAATCGCCCAAGCAGGCCACGTTCACACCCAGCTCCTAGCACGCGTTGAAGTTGCTTCCATCTACTGTCTTTTCTTTAGAAAGTATACAAATATAGATATATATATATATTCACATATTATAACTACCTCCCTCTCTCCCTCCCTCCCTCTCTCTGCCTGCCTGCCTGCGTGCGTGCGTGCCTGCGTGCGTGCCTGCGTGCGTGCGTGCGTGCCTGCGTGCCTGCGTGCCTGCCAGCCTGCCAGCCTGCCTGCCTGCGTGCGTGCGTGTGTGTGCCATTGTTTTGAGCAGGGGGGTGCAGAGCACAGTTCAAACTGCACCAAACGAAGCTATCCACTTGTGCTGGAAGCAGAGCCTGATCAGCTCTGTGTACCTGCTGGATTTTTAACATTTACCGAGACATGTTGTAAAGTGCTAGTGAGCTTCGCAGACTTGCACGCTACGACGTCACCCTGTCGCTCCGACTCCGGCTTGCGCTTTGGGCCTTATTTCCTCTTTACAAAGACCCCCAGGTTCTTTAGGACTTTCCTGGGCCTTTCAGGATTTGGGTTTCTTAGGCTGGCGTGTGGCACCGCTGTCAAGTCGGTACGCCCATAAGTGTGTCTGACCTCGTGCCAGTCCGGGATGAGCCCGTAGAGTGCCTCCCGTGGACCCGTCGAACGGGTGTCTGTCGTTATCTCCCCTGCCCGGATATGTACGTGCCCAGAGCGGGCGTAGAAGGCTTACGCCAAAGTTATTTGCCAAGACTTGACGAATTATTGAATTCCAAGTTGGCTCATGCCTTTACGTAACTGCAGCGGTCAAAGCAGCCAGCCATTTTGGCAAGGCACAAGGTGACCATAGCGGTCAAAGCATGTTTAAACTTCATTGGAATCTGTCGAGGGTCGAGAGCTTAGTCCCCCTTCCTCCCCCCACCCCTCTCTTCCCCCGTCGCTTGTTGGGGTGTTCCTGAATGTAATACTCAGGTTCACCCCTTTCTCCCTGGTGTGTCCCTGGACGCTTGGGAACACCTGTCCTCTTCCTCTCTTTTCCCTCTCTCTCTTTTTTCTCCTTCCTTTCCTTTCCCTCCTTCTTGTTTGGGTGTCCCTGGATGCTTTCGTCATAGCTGGGAACCCTTCTTTTCTCTTGGTGTGTCCTTGGACGCTTGTGTCGTACCTGGGAACGCAGTCTGTTCCTTTCTTCTTTTTCTTTCCTCTCTTCTCTCCCTACCCCTCCCTCCTGTCGGGACCTTAGAGTGGGACGCTACTGGGGGCTCCTGGCCTTACTACTAGGTGCAAGGACGCTACTAGGTAAGAGCGCCTCCTTTGGGGAGGCGTGTGTGTGTGTGTGCCCCTTGTAGTCACAGGGATTCTTTTTGAATTGTTTTGAGCAGGGGGGTGCAGAGCACAGTGGAAACTGCACCCAACGAAGCTATCCACTTGTGCGGAAGCAGAGCCTGATCAGCTCTGTGTACCTGCTGGATTTTTAACATTTACCGAGACATGTTGTAAAGTGCTAGTGGGCTTCGCAGACTTGCACGCTACGACGTCACCCTGTCGCTCCGACTCCGGCTTGCGCTTTGGGCCTTACTTCCTCTTGAAGACCCCCAGGTTCTTTAGGACTTTCCTGGATCTTTCAGGATTTGGGTTTCTTAGGCTGGCGTGTGGCACCGCTGTCAAGTCAGTACGCATATCCATAAGTGTGTGTGTGTGTGTGCGTGCATGTTTGCGTGTGTGCGCTCTCCTGTCACATCCAGATTATTTGAACGTGTTGGCCCTTTTGCTCGTCTATGCTTGCCCTTGGCCCTGTGACCGTCACCTTCGAGTGCTTGCGGATCAAGGGGTAGACTCGCTCGAAGTCGCCACCTGCCACCAAGGATGAGTAGTGCTGAAGGTAGTGGCATGGATGGACAGGGGGTCTTTCCATCACAAAGACTCGAGGTAAATGGCTGAGTGGTTTCTCACATTAATGATGCACTTCCACTGTCTTCCTGACAGCACGAGCCAGCCTCTGCGATGAGAGCAGTTTAGCCGGAAGATGTCGGTGCCTGCCTGAAGCGTAAATCTGGATTGCTCTAGCTGGAAACCTGGAAACGATATGTGCAAACACTGACACCCCTGCAGGTTGAGGATAAACCAATTAAACCTTTGCGACAGGCCACATTGGTCACGAAGAGTGCACAAATCGAAACAAATCGAGTATCAGTATGTGCACATGCATTTGCACGGTCCACTCTGACTGCGGTGGTCAAGTATAATTCTGTTCCCACGTCCACAACCTTACAGTAGGATACAATTGGTGGATCACAGTGGATCAGAAGACTTTCTGGCCACGTTGAGTGGAAGTCCCCTTCAGCGGCATTTGTGTTTTGAAGGCAGCCACAGCCCTGGGGGTCCAAGCCAAGATCATCTTCTGGATCATCTCATCACTCCATGAGGATGGCCCAAGACTTGCCACCACCTTGGTCCTCCTCTTGCTATCGTCCAACTCTCTGGGCTTGTTTGCTTCGTCCACTACCTGGGCACGCGAATGCGAATGGCTGCATACCGACTTGATCACATACGTGTTTCATTTGTTCACAGTATCAGTTCAATATCTCGAGAGCATGCAGCAACGTGTTACATTCCTTCGGCATCCTTCGGCCAAGCTTCATAGTCATCGAAGACTTGAGGTACGAAGAGGTGCTTCACACTTTCAGCTTCAAGAGCTGCATCCGCCTCTGCCATCACCGATTCGCCTGAGCACGTGGGAGATGCCCAAAAACACGGGAGAGGTGTGGATTTGTCGGCTCACTTCAGCCTTGTCCTGAAGAGATAGTGCAGCAAAAACCCACGAAACGACAGGGCAGTAGAAGGGATGACATGGCCTCCCACAACAGGTGACTCTGGCACAGCATAAGATCCGCGCAAGTGATATCGGCCAGGGCACAAGGGTACCTGCCACTGGCTGCCTCGCCGCTAAGCATCACAGCATCGGCACCATCCCACACGGCGTTCTGCAAGTCGCTAACTTCTGCTCTGGTGGGGATCGGCTGCCTGGGTTGAGAAGGGCTCTCTTGAGCTTTGCTTTCAGATGCTGCGGGACATGCTAGCTGCTAGCCAAACAAGCGAACACCATGTGTCCGACAAACATCTGGAAGCAAACAATTACAATTCAACATGTAAGCACCAGTGCGTGCTACAAGCCACGCCACTGTCTCTCTCTCTCTCTCTCGCCCCTCCCTCCCTCCCTCCCTCCCTCCCTCCCTCTCTCTCTCTCTTTCTCTCTCCCTTTCTTTCGTTCGTTATTCTATTTCTTTTGTTCTTTCTTCCTTCCCTTTCTGTCTGTCTGTCTGTCTGTCTTTCTTTGTTTTTCTTTCTTTCTTCCTTCCTTCGTTCCTTCTTTCTCTCTCTCTCTCTCTCTATTTCTCTGAAATGTTCAATGCAGCTATGCCGCTCGATCATACTTTCCACCATTTGCGTGGCATTGATGACCTTAAAGGTTGTCTTCTTCGGCCACTAAGTTGTATTTAGTTGCACGACACACCCGACTGGTCATATCAATTCAAATCCATGCAAAAATAATCAAAAATAATTTTACACACACACACGCTAAAATAAAGCAAAAACATGAGAAGGCCAATCCAGGAGACGAAAAGACCAGCATCCTTTGCTCTCCTGAGGCTAGTGGTGCATGCAATCCTCATGACTATAAGATTGAATCAAATCCAATCCGATGACTCATGAAGCCTCACGAGCCCATCCCAACCTCCCGCCTGATGAGCAACTTTTGTGCGAAGGGCACACGCTCGAGCTCCAGCTCGACACCCAAATCTCCACGCGCCACCATGAGCGCCTGACTTTTGGCGATGATGCCCTCGATGTTGGTCAGTGCCTGGGATGAAGGGTGGGTTCTCGAAACAACTCGAACAGTGGCCCAAAGCAGCTGGATGAATAGGGCAAAGAAGGAAACAAACCCGAAAGAACTGCGTTGCTCCGAAACTCTTATCTTACCACCCATACAATCATCATCGAAGAATTTGGGAATGCTTTATTCGATACGCCTTGATATACTCAGCGTAAACTACTCGCCGACATCGCCTGTGGCTTCTCGATCTTCGGGCAGATTTTTGGACGGCGCTCCTGTGACCATCTGAGACGACCCGGGCGCTTGGGCCGCGCCGTGGCCACCGAGCTCGGAAAAGGGAGCCGTCGCTACACTGAGTGCGCAGCACTCCCTGGAACCAAATGGCCTGACCTAACTTGGGGAAGCAAGTATGGAGTAGCTCCTAACCAAACAAAAAGCTACCGATGGGGTGCAGGATAAGGCTTCTTGGGGAAACTTGACATAAAGAGAGCCGCCTCAAAGATGCGTAGAATATTTTAGATGATTATAGAATGCCACTAGGCCACTCATATGATCCAATGTTTTTGTTGGGCATCGTCTAGGGGCCCCGTCCTGCGGAATCTTGAGGCGATCCATGATGTCGATGAGTTCCTGCAAGTCTTGGCCCTTCTGCACGAAAGACACGCAAATGTACTCGATGGGGGGTTCCAACTGCAAAAGGTACTCGGCATCCTGTGCAAGGAGCGTGTGAAACATTGTGGAAGTGGAACTATGGGGCGTGAAACACCACATTCCTCTACAATCTCAACTAACACCAACATCAACTATACGCTTGCTCCTGTCTTGGTGGAAGCAAGTCACCAAGCTACCAGCATATTGGCAAACCCATGACCAATCCATCCTAGTGCCGTGCAGCACAGTCCTCGATGTCCTTCTCCGTCAAGGCGGCACAGTCGATCTGCACCGTGGGCACATTCACACCCTTGCGAGCCTTCAGCTTCCCACCACGGACCTTATATGGCAAGCAACACACAAGGCTCTACCCAGGAAATGGTCCAGTCCGCTTTGACCATCCATCATCGAAATGCTTAGGCAAACGCAAACCTGCATGAAAGTCCCAAAAAGCAACGATTCTATAGCTAGTCGTAGCTTCTTGCTACTAGTAGCAATGCACTTGTTACTAGTAGCGATGCCCTTGTTACTAGTAGTTTCTTTGTTACCATAGTGTTCTTTTGCACAGCTACTAGATCGAAAGCCAAAGCTCTGGCTGAAGAAATCCACCAAACCGATGTAACGGTACAAATAATATCAAATAATGAACAGATGCTCTATACTCTCTTCACACAGGTAAAAATATATATAATATGTGTGTAACTTCAAATATGCTCTTGTTCAACGCCAGGGCCATGTTCCCCACTTCTGCTCTTGAGCTCATTGCCAAGTCACAACTTTCACCTTGAGCTCGGTGTCTGAGAGCTTCTCGACCACGCGCACTTCCATAATGCCATCTTCCAGCAACAATGGTGTGCCAGGAGTACCTAAGACATGTCAAACACATCTGAAGGATCTCAACTGTCAGCACTTGGAATCTGCTGGATCATGCAAGGACTCTCTCCGATGCCGCATCCACGTTTTGAAAGCTCTGAGGACTGTGCACCCTCCTCGAAAAACACCCCCTCCATGTAAAGCCTAGCTGCAAGCCTTCACCAAAGCATTTTGCTCGATTGTGGGCTTCATGGTGATGCGGCCAGGCCGGATGAGGTCACTGTCATCCTTCAGCCAATTGGTGCACACCGCCAAAAAGTTTGCAGTGGTTGGCCAAGTTCCAACGTACCCCCACATTGACACCAAAAAGGATGACAAAGGTACAAAGGGACTGAGTCAATTACCATGAAGCATCATGAAGCTACATGCCAGGAATGCATAGACACAACAACCCACCTCTACACAACCCAACGCGGTCTCCGCGAACATCGCGCGGCCGGCGAAGCCTTGCAAATACCGAACTCCAAGACGTCTCCATCTTTCAACGGGATTGGATCGCTGGCCAACTCACCCACGCGGAACTTGGGACCCTGGAGGTCTCCCAAGCACTCCACCTGGCGCAGCCGCAAGAACTCCGGATGATAGCCCTTTAGACACCGGAGAGCTTCCCAGTGCTCGAGTGTGCATGGTTTGAAAGCCTTCAATTTCAGTCTGCGGGTGAATTGCGAAGCTTTCACCAAGAAGCCAATTCTAAAAACCGAATCTCTCAAACAGCATGCGGAGCCCCGGTTAAGAGCCAGTAAAGAGATCGTAGATCTTATTGGTCATGACGCTTTTGATGGAAGGAATGTCCGACTCCAGCCTTTCGGCCCAGCTCCTGGGCTGCCTTCCGGATCAGTGGATAGACCCGCTCGAAGTCGCCACCCCGGCGGTGAGAGCAGTTCAGGCGGAAGATGTCGGCGCCGGCCTGACTGGGGCGCATTCAGCAATACGTAGCACCGTAAACAGTGGAACATTGATATATAAATTGTATATACAGTATATATATACTGATCAAAATGAGCGGGTCTTTTTTGACCAGCTCCATGGCGGCATGGTCAAGCCACGGCAAGCATACTGAGCCCACTTTGTTCTGCTACAAGCTTCCATTTCGAGAATGCTTCATCTCCCAAGCTGGTAGAGCTGTGGGGGGGGCTCACCTTTCAACATGTCCAACTTGCAGGGATTCTTCGGTGCAACCAGTCTCCCCCAACTCGCCTGGATCATCTTCGGGATCATCTCTTCGCTCCAGGAAGCAGGGCCCAGACTGGCCACCACCTGGCGGTGAAAAGAAAATGTGTTCGGTCCCGAAACGGGTCAGTTCCGAAAGGGCCAAAACCAACGAGGGGATACGAGGGGAAACGGGTCAAATACCTGCATGATCCTGCATGTGATGCGGATGCGGAAAGAAAAGCAGCAAGTATCCAGAACAGTGTCGATATGCTTTGGAAGGAATCCAAACTTTGCTTTTTGAATCCACATATCAGTGAAGGTGATCATACCTTTGCGGTTTTCTCGTGCCTTCGTCTTCCTCTTGTTGTGGTCCGTCTCCTGTCGCTTCAGCGCCATTCCACAGTTCAAGGCTCTTGGTGGACGCAATGGCAAGCGGCTGTCAATGGCCTAGGCATGGATGGCATGTCTGGCATGGCTGGCAAACGGCTCGAAGCAACTGTCCAAGTATTTATACAAAGGAAAGGGATTTCCGATTTCCTGTGGACCATTGAATTGGTTGAGCAACAAAAGCAAGGCAGCCGTGACGCTATACGTTCAATTCTCTCACTGCTTTGAACACATCTGTGGATGCTCTCATTTAGGCTGAGCTGCCACATATGGGCAAGCTTTCTGCAAGCGATGCTTGACGGTCTCTGCCTGCCACTGTGTCCAGGTATGCGGCTTAAGAACATCCAGTTCTGAACGTTCTTAGCTTCTGTGGATAGAATTGCAACTGAGCCATGAGTTAATCAAATAAAACATGCGAGGTCAAGAAAAAAAAAGTCCTGCAACATATGAGCTTCCTTTGTGATAGTATATGTGTATGTATATGTATCTATATATATATATAATGTGCGTATCTATGGTGTCCAAGGGTAAGAATGTTCAGCTTCTTTATTCTGACTCCGGCTTCATATGCGCATAATATGCTACAAGAAGCTTCATAATGCGCATTGGCATTTATATACATACACCAACAATTCAAAAACGCACCCTTTATTGAAATGTGCTGAAAATGGTTGAAATACCGTCTCCTACCCGATGGCCAGCAGCCCATAGCGCTGCCCCCCACATCCGCCTCTCGAGTTGCAGAGGCTTCGGCCATCACGGCTTCGCATGGGAACTTTCCCGTTGCTGCCTCACCACTGAGCATCACTGCATCTGTGCCGTCCCAAACAGCATTCCTCAGGCTCGTAGAAGGGCTGGATAAGCATGATAAGCTGGTGCTGGGGTAGTCGGGAATGGACACTTGGAGATCAGACATCAGCGTGCAAATGAAACAAGCAAAAATTAGAAACATGATTATACCGTACCTGAAATGTTTGACAAAGGCACGTCATGTGTATGTATATATATATGCATAAGTTATGCATAAGTATATACAATAAACACGATGCCTGTGTGTGTGTGCAATGTACTGTTATTCTTAAGGAAATTTACTATAGTTTATTTAGCACGGTTGAAGAGAGCAGAACCTTCTGGAAAAAACAATGCAGCCCCAATCCGGTTCAACTGAGGCTCATCAAGTCAGAGACTTCCGCACGCGTTGGCACAGGGTTCTCAATCATGCTCTCCACCATCTGTGTGGCAGTGATCACAAACAGCCCTGCTTGCTTGGCACGTTGGATGAGGAGTTTCTGCGCGAAGGGCACACGGTTCAGGCCCAGCTCCACGCCGAGATCACCACGTGCCACCATGAGTGCCTGGGACTTCGCGATGATGCCCTCGATGTTGGTGAAGGCCTTCAAATGTTGGCGAAAACCAACTGAAAGGGTTTGACAAGGAAAAGTGCCAATGATGTCAATGATTGGTGAGTGAGTACCCCGCACATTCTGGAGTATATGGTATACGATTATGCTGGCTTGACGGTGACCTTCTTCAGGTGCATCTCGTTATAAAGATGTAATTACAGAGTGACAGGACCTCTCATTGATGGAAGGTCAAAGGTGTTTATTCAATTCATGTCATTTCTCTGGAGAGGACCTCTTCTGCTCTGCATTGCCAAAAATTGAGGGCAAGCTGCTTAGTACCACAAAGGCCATGTGTGTGTGTGCGGCTGTCAAATCTCCTTGTTCAATCTTATGTCATCATGTAGATTGCGGGGGGCCATCTGTTCCCTCAGCACAACGTTAGACTTCAGCTTGGAAGGGAGGCATCGTTTTCTTGTATAGTCAAGGCAGGCTTCAACCAAACAAGTGTATGTATGAGCACGAGCACTCAAAGTAGACAAGCACGCAAACTTCACAAAGCTCAGCTGACACTATGTAGCAGCGCTATGCAAGCAGCTAACAGAATTCACCAAGCTGTTGCCGCAACATCTTGGTTGGTTTCAAGTCAACCTATGTAAGTCCGCAAGTGATGGACTGACATGATCCAGGGCATAGCTTGGGGTATCGCTTCAATTTCCTGAGTTTTGGCCCCACGGGAAATGCTTGTTGCCTCTTACAAGTATGTGTGGAATTATATATATATATATACGTTTCAGATCAAAAAGCTCGTGAAAGAAGAAGCAATAGAAACACATGTCAAGCAAATCCACTTGGACAATGTTGTTGGGGGGGGCATCGCTTCCCTGGGTTTTGTGCAAAATCTCAAGGATTGAAGGCGGCTCACATCTTCGGCTCTACGTACCATGTTTTGACAGGTGCCTCGTGTGCCATCACCCATCACCCTGTCACGCCTGAGGCTTCTCAATCTTGGGGCAAATCTTGGGGCGCTTGTCAGCGGGCACTTTCAATCGATCCATGATGTCAATAAGCTCTTGCAAATCTTGACCTAACCAGCGAGGTGCGAACGAGGCGGCACCGTGCGAAACCATGGCGGCACCGTACCCACTTGTTGCTGGCAATTCAGAACCACGTGGGTGCTGCATATATTAAACTAGCGATTCCCAGCCGGCCTTTCTGAGCAAAGGATACGCAAATGTACTCAATAGGTGGGTCCAGTTGAAGCAGGTATTCGGCATCCTGAATGTTTAAATTTACATCAGCATCATGCATCAAGTCAAAATCCAGTCCAAACAGCTCACAGCGATGCAAACTGCTGTTCCTTAACCAAACTGCAGTGCTGTTGCAGAATGTATACAGTCTCCGCCCCTTCGGTGTCTATCTTGCAGGGTTTCTGCTGACCACAGTCACCACAGTGACCACAGGTATCAAACTCGGCTCTGGCATGCTCTGGCAGCTAGTTCGGGTCCTCGATGTCCTTCTCCGTGAGGGCGGCGCAGTCGATCTCCACGTCGGGCACATTGACGCCCTTGCGCGCCTTCAACTTTCCTCCTCGGATCACCTCAGGCACGGACGGTTGACGGTCCAGGACCGTCCTCTCGAATCATCACGGAAGTCATACAAAAACCTTCGAAAAGCGGGTGCCGTGTCCCAAGCTTGGAGGAAAAACACTTCGGTGTGAACATGTCATTGTCATGTCATCCAAGAATCAGGTGCTAGGAGGTCCTATGACCTATGGTTTAAAGTATCCCACCAGTTGATACTTCCGACCTCCCAGCAAGCGGTCTGCAGAGGCCAAGCAGTTGGCGGCCGTAGATCACTAAATCTCGTTATGGAAGAACTATGACATTGAAAGGCCTGATGGAAGGCCGTGCTGAACTATGGGTTGACGTCGGTGTGTCCAAGAACCTGATGCGTTGACCTCAAACAAGAAGGCGATCCCGATTTCATGATAACATGCCATAACCTACTGCCCACTGGCATCCACTGGCCGTGCCGGACATACATATATATATATATATAAGGTCGAACTCGTTCAATGTCTTGATGCGAAGGCACCACCACTTTTAGCTCCGTCTCAGAACACTTCTCCACGACCTTCACCTCCATGATGCCATCTTCCAGCAGCAAAGGGGTTCCGGGCTTACCTGCTCAGTTCTACATTGCTGTGCAAAACCGTTGTGGCCAAAAAAACAGCACCAACGAAACATGGCGATGCTATGCCATGCAGAACTCGCATAGAAACTTTAAGAACAGGGTTGTGGGGGAAGGGTGGGCTAGAGTCTAGAGAAGGCTTCTTGCCCGGCAAAGTACAAGCTTTCACCAAGGCATTCTGCTCCACAGTGGGCTTCATGGTGATGCGCCCAGGGCGGATGAGGTCACTGTCATCCTTGCAAATACCTGGGCAAGCTCTTGCCAACCTCTACAAGCAGCAGTCATCCCATGCAATGTGACATGAAAGAAGCACCAGCCCTGTAGCACGGTAGCACAAAGGGATGCAAAAGGTCCAAATGGATCCACATGGCAATTTGATGAGGTATGGTCACTACCAGTCCCAAATTCCGCTATTGCAGTGGTGGTGGTGGTAACCCTTGTGATATCACTCAAAGTCTAATTTGGACTATTGTAGACTTATATCATATATCTGAAGATGAACAAATCTAAATCTAAACAACATAACATAACATATCTAAGACTTACTGTATGACAGTCAAGACCACTTGATGAAAAATGTGATTTTATTGGACCACCTTGTAGTTGATATCTCATCGTACATATGCTTCCAACGCTACTCAAAACGTTCCTTGCTCAGGCCTTTCACTACCCAACATCCCATGGTGCCCGGAGCCATGGCGCCGAACTCCAAGATATCGCCGTTCTTCAGCTCCACAGGGTCTGCCGCCAGCTCGCCCACACGGAACTTGGGGCCCTGGACGGGTCGAGTTCTGAGACGGTCGACCCCTGAGACTGTCCAACGAGGAAAACCCTGTTGAAATCTGACCGATTCATCCGGCAATTTTATACGCATGACACTTGAATATGAGCCGCATCTGGCGGCCATTGATCACCAGCCTGCAGGTCACCCAGGCATTCCACCTTCTTCCCCATCTCCTGGCAGGGAGCGTGGCTTATCACCCACATGCTAGGCTAGCACTTCTTGGAGATGATTGGGTTGCTGAACCACCTGCGACAATTGCTCCAAAACAACACTGAAGTTGAATTGCAATTGCATTGAAAATCAGTAAGAGGAGGTATTTAAATTATTTATCATATCTTAGAGCCTACTAGCGGCATGCTGTCCTTGGCATACTTCCGGATCAGCGGATAGACACGTTCGAAGTCACCACCACGGCGATGGGAACAGTTTAGGCGGAAAATGTTCGTCCCTGACGCGATCATCTTTGGAATCATCTCCTGCACGGCGAGGACTTGTAAATTACCCAGCCATCCCTCCCAACATCTGATCACAGTCGTGCCGTGTTGCTGACAACAGCCAACTCTGATTACAATGATATCATCAATGATCCAAACGTTGCTGCATCACTACACGCGAGGTCCATGTGGAGAACATGTGGTGGGCCTCATGACCTCTATGCCTCACCAGCAAGATATGACAATGGCATCGCCCTGCTTGCAAGTAGGGTCTCCTCGCTCCAAGACGCAGGTCCCAACGAGGCAACCACTTGAGTTTGCCGCTTGCTGTCCTTAGATGGACGTGCAATGCCCCGCATAATCACCAAAAATTGCAGCTCAAAATGCGGTGTTTGTTTTTCTATATATATATATATGCCGGAAAGATCCACAATAAGGATATGATTGACATGAACAGGCTTGCACACATGGGTGCCCTGTACCCTGTTGTGGATCCACAAATCCTTCTGTCATCCTCTGTCAGGTCTCATCAAGCTCCTGCGGTTTGTTGGCCTCATCGACCACCGTGCCATCGGGAACCTGCCCACAATGAATCGTTACACTTGACAAAGCTGGGCCCCTCACAACTCACTCAAACTATCTCAAATTCATGTACACCTAGAAACTCTCCAGGGCTGGTCTCTTCATGTCACGCATCATCGCTACACGCTTCAGTCGTGGGCCTGTGGCTTCAAGAAGTCCCGGACGGCTTCTGCCTCAAGCGCCTGGGCCCCAACACTGGTGGAAATTCCGGCCACCAAGGCACTGCATCAATCTCAGTTTTTTGGTTACTAGTAGCGATGCCCTTTGTTACTAGCAGCTTCTTCTTCCTAGTAGCAAGGCCAGGAGCTACTAGTAGTGTCCTTGCTACTAG